TATATATATATATATATATATATATATATATGTAAAGATACCGGCGCATGCATTCGCCCGCATACTTAAATAAATAAATAAATAAATAAATAAATAAATAAATAAATAAATAAATAAATAGGTAAATTTAGTTGTTTATTTATTTATTTATTTATTTATTTGTTTGTTTATTTATTTATTTATTTATAAATAGATTTATATTAATATTTTAATACGCTAGAGCGGGTTTCTTCTTTTGGTTATTTTCTCTTCTTTGCCTATCTGTGTTTATATAAATAAATAAATAAATAAATAGATATACATACATATATATATATATATATATATAGGCGTTGCAATCTTCTCTAGACGCTCAAGCCAGTTATGAACAACCCCTTGGAGTTCTGGCAACAGGGCGCAAGCTCAGTTCTTGAGTATATACCCACAGGAATAAGGGATGCAGAACGTGCTGGAAGCAACCACGCCAATGGTATTCTGGTTGCTTCCAACGGCAGGTTTCGGGTCCGCACCTCACAAATTGCAAGCCTCCCACGCCAAGCGACTGCTGCTTTTCACAATGTTGGTGTTTGTCTCTCTTCTGCTGCTACGATTTCTCGCTTAGGCAGGTCAAACTTGACGCGATTAAGGAGGGAGACGAGAGGTACTTCATCGCTGTTGGGCTCTTTGAAGGCGATAATCTGAATGAAGTAAGTAATAGCCTAAAATGCAAGCTGTAAGTAGAACCGTGCTAAACTTTAGGAACTAGGCTGCTTATCTTCTGCGATATTTATATGTAATGAATGCACAACAGTCTCGCCGTATATACATTAGGGCAGCGCAGGGTGTAGTTTGACTCCTGCCACATAATTACACCAGGGAAACTGTAAACTTTTAAGGCAATGATGAGGCGAAGGACGTGCGGTTCTACGAGCTCGCTTCTCTCCAGGTTGTGAACCACAAGCGGAACCGGACAAAACCCGTCAAGGGTCAACGCATTGGGGAAAATTATATCTGCTCCTTCTCTGGGGAGAAGATAATCCTGCCAATTTCAGACCCATCGAAGCGTTTTTTGCTGTACATTGCTGTTGTCACAATAAGCAAGGGAACAGACGACCAGGGCAAGACATTCAAGGATATATCACTTATGGGAATTGGATTCTCACAAGCGTTCGAGGTCAATGTGTGTAAGGTATGTTTGACGACGTTGTAGGAAATAGTTAATGGAGAGTATATCTCCGAAAAGTGTAGAGATACGTATTTGATTTTATCCGCTTTCCTGTGTATCACTAGCCTTCTTACCTTGTTAGTGCTTGTATTGTGCTTCCCGCAGAAGTATCAACATACCACAGTGGAGCTGCGCCTTGTTGAGGGAGGTGACCCAACCATTAATCCGGGTGCGTAAGCTGCTACCCTTAGTTATTTGGTGAGCAAAAGTCCTCCTTTCGTGGGTATGGAACTGTGTCACTTTTGTTTCGGCTTTATGTCTTGGTATGTCAGGAAAGATTGAGGTGGCGATTGACGTTTGTAAAAGCGACAAAGGAGAGGCAGTCGCAGAGGACGAGGAAGAGAAGTGAGTGTATGACATTTAGCAACTTCAGTATGTGAAGCTACGTCGTTTTGTATGCATACGCACATGGGCACACTTTACGGAACAAAAGCACCTCTATGGGAACGGGACGTAAGAATATACGTTATGTATGCGGTAGACTTCTTTTTTAGACAAGTTCTTGATTTCGCCGGGTGGACCCGCAAGGTTCCCCATTAGCCCTTTTATTTCGCGTGTGTTGTTCAGTTGTGCACTTCCTCAAGACCAAGCATGAGGTGTTTGTTGTCTGCTGTTATTTCGGGTGCTCGCAGTATCATGGCCCAGTTCCAGGCTTGAAGGGACGTTTCACATTCACCAGCAGGATCCACGTTCATTCTTGTGGCGGACGCAGAGGTTAGGCGTTCTTTGCGTATTTCAAGGGCGTAAAGCTCGGTTCCCTAGTGTATTCGCTTGCGATGCACAAGGATAGAGAATTTACAACGCATGAGTGCAGGTTTGATATGCTCAATGGTTGACCATTGATTACAACCTGCGAGGGCCTTGTTGACACTTTAAGGGCCCTATAGGCCCCTAAAGTGTCGATTTTGAGGGAACAGCTGACTCTGTGTTGCAGTGGCAGTTTGTCGTATAGTTCTTGTTTCCAATCAGAGACTGAACGGACATGACGGGTCCACAAACAGGCCTCTGCTTAGACATACGACATCCTATCAGGGCTGTAAACATCTGGGAGGAGAGCCGTAGTGCGCTACTTGTCAATAACCTATGATGGTAAAGCTGCCGAGCGCTTTGGCACTGCGGTTTGTGGAGGTGTAACCACGCAACGAATGACAACAGTGCGATGCATATCATTTAAGCGGCTCTCCGATTTCCGCAACCGAGGGTTTCCATTCATGTATGCCGCCAGACAAGCATGTTGCCCCGTGGAGAGTCGAATAAGAGGATTTTGGACGGCGAAGTGTAAACTAATGGCGCCTCGGCGCATAGTTGAGGTGGTGTCTGTACTGTAGGACCTCCTGTGCTAGCTGATGCCACTCGCAATTATTGGGCACACGCGTAGTGACGATTAATGACGTGGGGAGATGCCAGTCTATGTATATAAAACGTTTCAGCACTGTGTGGCGTGCATGGTGCGGGCGAAGGGTTTGGTAGTAGTTTAGTGTTACCCGGAGAAGCGGCGTTTAGTGTTACCCGGAGAAGCGGCGGTGGCTGCATTATGAAGGCAGCATTGAAATCTAACGTCTTACACGGGAGACGTCGTGTAGTTCACAGGCACTACAATGGAGCACGAGTGAGACCTTCAGAGACCTTGTTAAATAATAAAGTAGGACAAATACAATACTAATGGATAAATGGTAATACTCTAGGTGCGAATTTAATGAAGCGAAGTCAAGAATGCACGGCAGCCACACCAGGTTAGGGCTGGCTGATGCTGTAATTCGCTGGGATTAGACAGGGCATGGGAGGAGTAGGAAATGCTTCTTCCAGGAGAATAGGACCTAAATCTTGTTAAATTAACAAAATTAAACTCTTCATTTCAATATAGTTTGGGCGAGAGAGTAGACTTTTAGAGCGAGAGCAAATAGTCTTCACCCGTTATGCCCTACGTATGCCTGACGGCAGGGCACACAAAACGTATTCACGCAGGCAATTGAAGTCCTTGAAAATACGAGAGTAGTATTCTGGTGATGGATTGGAGTCGACATCGGCAACGTCCCTTCGCGACCTCCGAGTTCGGCTCCCGGCACTATCCTGGGTAGCCGCAGTCAGTCGGCTGCAGCTTCGCCCCGACAGGCCTCCAGGCTTCATACGGCTAAGTAACTGTGTAAGTAATCCTAACGAAAAGCTTATAACTCACTTGAGCGTGTTCCCAGTTGGGAAACACGAATTACCATCAAAGAAGGGGAATGACGATATCATAAAATAGAACTTCCCTATTGTAGTGTGCCCGCTATGCAGATGCTTCGGTTGAGACACTGAACAGGGGCAAATCTATCATTCTCGGATTTCCTTTTTAAGATTACTGGATTCGAATATGCTTTATGAACGAATACGTGAATTGAGAGACTGACTTGCGTCGGAGTCAGGGGCAGATTTATCATTCTCGGATTTCCTTTTCAAGATTTTTGGACTCAAATATGTCTTAAGGACGAATACTTTCATTTTCAAGTCATAATAGTAGAGATATGCTGCGTTTAGAGTATAGATGTAGAGTTTGAACCCAGTAGGATTGAGATGGGGTACATACGTCACGACAGCACAGCCCGCTGTTCGCTACACATCGTGTGTGTGAGCTTTGCTCTCCGCCGCTGCTTCTAGCTCTTTGATATGGTTTCACTGTAAGAGGTCTCAATAGTCTTAGCTTGTGGTGCATTTCCTAGCGTGTGACTGGCCGGAACGGGGCTACTTTCTTAGTCCACTGGCGTGATTGTCGGTTGTTAGTTTGAAGCCGCCAGTCTTGTTCATTAGAAGGAACACTTCGAACAATGAAAAAAAGAAATAATTAATTTTCGAGCAGTTACTTCAGAGAAAAATGCAGCAAACGACTGCAGCAACGATGGAGCAGCAGTGTCAACAAGCAGTATGTGACGGGAGACGGTGACCATCGTGGTCCGTTCCATCCGCAGGCTACCTCAGAATATACCAAAAATCCATGTATAAGAAATATCGATTTGCGGCTTGCCTTCCATTTCGTTTAACTCGAGAATTCGCTCTTTGCTAAGCAAAAACAAGCGGGGCCCGTCCATCGCACCTGACTTCAGAGTTCGCCTTGGGCAGCCCGCTAGTGTGCTTGATTAGCTGCACACAGACAGCAATTCTTCCCTACAAAGTTAAAGGTAGAGAATAAACAGAGGGGCTGCTCACGTGTTCTCCTTCTAACTCGCTCTATGCCCTTGGCGCTGCGAGGCCCTCCCTTGGCGTTGGCGGTGCTTGGTGGTTTATAATATTTCACCTATTCTGCTTCTTATGCATTCGTATCGCTGTGCCCAACCTAAGAAGCTAAGAGCATTACTTTTCGTCTACGAGGAAGCCATCTCGGTTCCCCTTTGCACGCCGAAGTTGCGCAGCATTGATCGTTGCCCTAGTGCGGCGACCCGAGGACTGGCATTGCCATACTTGATTCCGCAATAAGCATCTCAAGCCATCAAAAACTGTCCTGTGGCTGCACGTAGGGCTGCTCACATGAGCCGACCCCCATGACGGGAATATGGCGCAACCGAGCGTACGGGCCTTCAGTTTTCCCTGTTAAACAGCTTTTCCTCTTAAACGGTCTTATCGCAACAACAGGTTTCACATCCCTGACTAACTCGTCGAGTAACTAAAACGCACTACATGAAGCTACTACTGCCAGGGAGTGGGGTGAGAGGGTTCCAGAGAAACTTCAATATGCGCTGCAGGAGAAACTGAGTGGAGGAGAAGCACGGGCAAAGACAGCAGTAACGGTGATAATGCCATCTATGCTTTCTGCCTGCAGGTCTTTACGCAATTCCGTTAAAGATGAAAGTCCGTCGCCAGGCACAGAAACAACAGCCTGTGAACAAGCGCAACCAGCAGCTGCAGCAGCAGTAGAACTACGAAATCTAGGTGCGGCATGGGCAGGCGCACAACCCTCGTTACAACCGTCGCCAGCAGAGGCAGTGTTGACGTCATTGTCAGATGGATTTTCAGCAACAACGACAGGTGGAAACGCCTCAGCTGCTGCAGCTATGGCATGCTCAGCACAAGCAACAACCGCAGCAGGATCAGCGCAACCAAATGCCTCGGCGAGTCACGCTGGAGCTATTTCGTGGTCGCATGTTCCTGGTTTTTGTGGGTCTTGTGCATCTGGCACTTCCCGTTGGTCGTGCCCGAACGGTGATCCGCCCTGGCTACCACTAACCCCACATTCCCGTGTCCATCTGAGGCTACTGTGGGCCTTCTACGCTGAATCTCTCCCTAAAAGCTGCTCAGCGATGCAGGAGGCCATAAGGCTAGGGGATCTTCCGGCGTTGAGGGCCGAGGCAGCCCTGTTGTCGCTTATATCAAGAGCTCTGGGCTTCGTTAGCCTCTCCGTATCAGCCAGACGAGTGGCCGACATTTGTGACCTAAAAGATGCAGGGGTGCCCAACCCTGCTTGGGGCCCACATCATCCTTTAGTTGCGGCACAAAGGACTGATATTTCTCATATTACCCTGGGCGAAACAAAATGGGCGGTGCAGCAACAGCAGCTCCAACACCAGCGGGACCACCAACAAGAGCGTGTCTCCAGTTGCAGCAGCCACTACAGCGGAGATGCAGCAGTCAGTGGCTGGCAACCGGTCGAAGGGGCTTCTGTATCTGGGTGTCGAGGTGCTATGACCGTTGCTAGCGGTGCCTACAGAAGCAACAAAGCCATCGAAGTGTCAGCAATAAAGGGCGGACTAGTTCATCCAGGCGTGCCACAAGCAGATATAGTTCGAACCGTACGATCAAGGAGCTCTTCTTTTGCCGAGGGCTGCAAAGAGCGACCGTTGCCAAAGCCTGCTGGGCTGGTGCCACATCAGCACACGCAGCAGCACAGCCGACGCCCTGCTCAGCGAAACACAAGCTGGAGCGAGCACAAGCAAGACAAACTTGCACAAGAGCAGCAACACGGGTATTTCAATTCCGAGCAGCCGCCAGAACGGCAGGAGTTGGAACGGCATCGTCTTCTTCTGGACAATAAGCAGCAGGCTTCTCATGCACACTACACAAAGCACGACCAACAGCAGCAAAAGCTTCCTGCGGCGGACTATCTTGGTGGCCTGCACAGTCCTACAAGCGCATTCGGGGAAGCGGTTGCTGTCTGCTTTATGGACCTCCATGCGGCGAAAGCTAAACTAGCTCCCCTCTTCCAGGAGGGTACAGCTGCTGCTGCAGCTACCGCTTGTGCAGCTGCCACTGCGGCAGTTGCTGCAGCTGCCTCTGCTGCTGCTCCTGAAGACGAGGCATCAGCGCAACAGACGCATAACAAATCTTCTAAAAGTCGTTATTTGGAGATCCTACGACATTCGCTGAGGGTTTTTGCAGCAGTACCAGCAGCAGTAAGGTCAAGCGCAGCGACCACAACCGCAGCAGCCGATTTTGGGGGAACAATTGCACCAAGGGGGAAAACACCAAGAGCGGCAAAGACGGCAGTAGCTGCACCAATGGTAGCCGTAGACGCGGCAATCACAACAGCAAAAGCAGCCTTAAGGCTTGCTGCTGTTTGGGGGCGCACTAGTGTCGGCGCCATTGCTGGCCTGGTTTCTGCTGCTGCTCATGATGCAGTGGCGTGGCTTTCCTCTTCGTTCTCAGGTACTTGGATGCGTGCAACCCACCCTACCCATCTAGTGAATAAAGTCAGTGAGAAAGCTACCTCTACAGCTGCAGCTACTTCATCGGCAGCAAGTAGTGTGGCAGCAGCTATTGTGACAGCTCAGAAGAAATGTACAGAGTGCCCGCAAAGGGCCGCCGTGCTGTTGGAGCAGTGCCGGAGGACCGTCACGATCCCAGGTGCAATATTCAGTGGACCAGCACCTATAGGGCAAGTGTCTGCAGTAGTAGGAGCAGAAGCAAGTAGAAGATGGGATTCTTTGTGCTACTTTCTGAAGCAAATAACACAAGAATTTACTTCCGCACTGCAGAAGGCACTACGTCTGCTAATTTTGTGGGACAACTCAGGGCTTGGAAGACTTGAGGCATCTGCGCCACCAAGCCTGCGTCAGGACAGCAGTTGCAGTATCCGCCGAAGCTTGAGGTGCAGGAACAGTGGCTGTAGGAGGGCCAGCGCAAGTCGAAGTGGTAGCCCCAGGGCAACCCCTGAAGGCGTCCGGCAGAGGGGCTCTACGTCAACCTGCTACTGGTCGCCCATAGAGAACACCTCAGGCCTCACGTCACCAAAAGAGCCCGCTGAATCTCCTGTCTCGGACATATTGCTGCCAGCTTCCCAGCAACAGGAAACGCAGCAGGCGCAGTTGGGCGAGCAGCAAGTGCTGCTGCATCATCTTAACCCTCTCTGTTCCCCTTTCGAATCAGTTACTCCATCAACTCCTCATGTTGCATTCCATGGGCCCGCTGCGTCGGCAAATTTCCTGAATGGAACTCTGCCAGCCATGCGATTTACCGGCTTAGATAACGATTCTAAGCACAGCGGGGGAGGCCTCCAGAGGGGGAAATCCTTCAGAACGTTTCCCAAGGTGGGCGGAACAACGAGAGCAGCAGCAGCAGGTGCAGCAGCTGCTGCTGCAACGGCTTCCTGGGGGACCGCTGTTTCGCTGCCCCAAGATATGAGGAGCCAAGGACCTCATCGTCAGGTGTCATTTCAAACGGGTAACGAAGAAAATCCCTCAACACAAGTGCCACTGCAAACAGTCATCCGGGGGCTCCCCAGAGGATCCCAATCTCCAGGAGTTGCGCAGGATAGAGAAGCTCAAATGCCATGAGCAGGCAGTTTAGAGCTCCTGCCGTAGTGCATCTAGACACGCCTCCGAGCATATATATATATATATATATATATATATATATATATATGCAAGGCAGAATCTCCTGTGAAGTAGAACTGCGGGACGACTGCCTGCCGCCCGTTATCCCCGCCCGTACTTCCGATAGAGCGACGCTCATCAGCGGCATTGTGGTAGCCCTAGCCTTCTTTTTTAAATAAGTATTTTCCGCAATTTGGCACCTAAGTAAGCTGATCCAAGCAAACACTACAGAAATTTGCGTTCTCAGGCCTCATGAGTGTCTAGAACTTCTGGACGAGTCAGTTTCTAAAGCTGGCGATTTCCCGTGGCTTTGGCACTGGAAGGTGCGATTACATTCGATGGAAGAAAAACGGAAGGAGCAACCAGTGTGCTGACAGTTAGAGCGGACCTCAATCATTCTAGACATATTCACTTTTTAAATAAAGGGGTAGGGTGGATTTAAGGAAGTTGGGACTTGACTTGGGCTCTAATGACACAGAACTTCGAGTTACCATGCACGCTTTACTCATGCTCTAGTTCGTGCAAATGGTTTTTGGACGTTTCTAATTCTTGATTTTGTCAGGGAATGATGCGTCAAGCATTGTATGCAGCATACAGTGCCTCTGCCCGTTTGCTGCAACGAAAAGCATTTGCAATTGGATTGGATTTGAGAATGACCGCATGCGTTAGTCCATGTAAATAGCTGTTGGATGTTTCTAATTCATGCTTTTGTCTAAGGAGGATACGTCAAGCTTGGTGTGCAGCTTGCAGTGTCTCTGCCCATCTGCTGCAACGAAAAGCAATTGCAATTGGATTGGATTTGAGAATGGCCACAGTCGTGAGTGCAGCCTCCTTCGTTTGGGAAGTCAACGGACTAATTTTTGTGGCAGAATGTTGAGAGGATTGGCTTTCCCAAGTCGGCGCACTTCAGGTAAGCGGATGACGAGTGAATTATATGAAGCCTTTCTTCATCGGACTTGCTTCAGCTAGCAACGCTGTACCAAGTGTTGTTTTTCTGTAAGCTTGGCGGCAAACGCTTCAGGAACCATGCAATTTTTGACCATGTTATTATCTAGGCCCTAGCTCATTCACCACTTCGCATTACATCTGGAGCGGAAAGGCCCACCTGCCTCAAGCAACGACCCGATTATGTCTTCTGTGACTAGCTCTCCATTCCAACAACCGAACGGGGAAGTTCGTTGCAAAGCAAAGATCTACCCAAACTATCAGTACGACCAAGTTGTGGACCTCTTATTGGTTCGAACTGCTGGAGACCTTGTGCAATGCGCGGGGTCCCCGCTATATATGGCCGTTGAAGATATGTGGGGTTAGACACTTGAAAACATGGTCGATTTCTTTTACTAATGGCATGATCTGTCCTTTTATAAAGCCTATTGTTTGCATCACGAGAGTTTCAAGGGGGACACACGTCCGCGTGGAGTGACCCTGCTCAGCCCCTCAGTCGCGTCACTCCCTCCAGATGTCACCCACTTGCCCATTCCTCATTCCTTGCTCCCCCGGAAAGGCCCCAGCAAGTTGAAGCATTAGACTCAATTTTGTATTAAAATATTGTTTTCCTCTCTGGTCTCGAAGATGTTGCGCAGAGGCTCCGGGGTACCCTTAAACCTGGGGTCATGGCAAGCTCCGCGTTTTTACGTTTATGAGGCCGGCGAGGTTCCAGGCGTTCCCAAAGATTTGTTGTACATAAAGGAGTCTGCATGGGGACCCGCTGCAGCCCAGGTGGGCCCTGCCCCCGTTTTCCTTGGGAAGCATCTAGAGCTACAGGCAACCCAGGCAAATAAAACCCCTTTGCGAGGCCGTAAGACGATCGAACTTGGGGCGGGTGAGTGCCAGTCCGTGACAGACTAGTCGGACGTACGTGCTCAGGGGTTGCTTTACTCCCTTCTAGCTAATTAAATGGGTGTACACAGATCTAACCAATTGCTGTGACCACGCCGGACAAGGGGTCCAGGTAAATCAGTGGGAACCCGTTCCTGCAGCGAAAACAGCAGCAATAAACTGTTGACCTTCAGGCTGTGGGCTCGTCTCTATGGTGGCCTCTCTGCTAGGGGCTGAAGCCCAAGCGTGCGAAGAACACGGACCGACCTTGGCTCTCCTACAGCACAACCTGGCGACGTTCAACTCCGAGTTTACAAAGTGCCACCCGGTACAGTCCATCCCTATTTCTGTTACTGTTACCGCTCCTGCTGGTATTGCTGTGCCGAGCGCAACACAAGCCACTTGCGGTGCCTGATCCAGTGCTGCTAGTACTGCCGTTATTTTTGCTGCTGTTGCTGCTGCAGATCAGCGCCTGCGAATTCCCAAAATCCGCGAAGTTCAGGGGGGCCTTTGATCTTCTTTTTGTGACAGACCTTTTGAACAGCCCAAGTGCTCGGATCAAAACGTTGAAGTGTCTTTTACTCCTCCTCGGCGCACAGACGGTCAGCCCAGCCATATAAACCGAATGGGGACTACTTCCCAAGCAGGGACGCCCTAGTCTATAGCTGTATTTACGGAGGATCGGTACTTTTCGGCAAGACATATGCCAATGCATTGGGCCCAAACTTCGTTAAATTCGCATGCAAAACAAACGGAGGCGTTCTGCTCCCTAGCGCCCAGCTGTCTTTCATCCCTTGCCTGTCTCCTCGGCATTTAGGAATGCATCATAGTCCACACATGGCGCAATCCTGAAGCAGAAAGGAGCTTTTTTGAGGCGCTTGGGAAATGTCTGCTCGTCAATCGGCTCGATGGGCAACGGGACATTCAAAACAGATGCCTGCAGGCCATCAGCCGCTCCATTGCTGACAGTGCCAGGGATATTCACGAAGCGACTGACGAGGTTCCAAACCCTAATTCTTTAACGTCAAACTCTGACATCTTGATCCATCAATAGATCCAGCAGTAGAAACCTCAACGCCTAAATCCCAGAGCATAGCCCTCATCGAGAGAGCCGTACTCCAAATTAAGTACTCACTAGGCCGATCTCTTGCCCATGCAGTGCACGCAAGAAAGGATTGCGCATTCTCCTGCAACAACTGGGAAAAGCTTTGCTTTGAGCATGCTTGAAAAGGGCATCCGGGATATTCGGGTTCCCTGTTGTCTGCAGGACGGATCTATCGATATATTCTCCGTGAAGCCACACGCTGATGTCAGTGAAAGCGTGTGGAGGTCTGAAGTGGAGGATCTGCTGCAGCAGTTGCAGCAAGACGAATCCATGCAGAAATGTAAGCAAGCAGGGAGTTCTAGGCAGAGCATGATATTCATAAAGGGATTCCTGGAGGCATTCTCCCTAGTACGAGGGATGCCTTGTGGCTAACGGTTTTGATTTTGCCCGTGGCTGCCGTGCATGCGTTGAAGGTACCCATCCCAACGTCACCCCCGTGGCGGTAGAAGGAGCAGGAGCAGCAGTCGGAGAGGCTTCAGCGCTCTGCTCAGAAGAGAAAGACACGGATAGGCACGGCGTATCCGTATCCCTCAGCAGCTGCAGCACTCTCTCCAGTATGCAAGGAACGGTTCAGCTTGCACGCAGCATATCTTCATCGGGCGTTCTCACCCCGGCAGAGAGACGGCCTTGCGGGGAAGACTTTAATGGGGAGCTGGAAAGACCGTCCCAGAAAGAACCTGCAGAGTCAGGCGCTGCAGCAGTTCCAGCCCCGAAAGCACGAACTGCTGATGATTCATCAACACCCGGACTCATACGCAATATGTCGCAGCCGCTGCTGCATCAGAAGCGCCTGCCTCTCAAAACCGCTCATACAGTAGCAGCAGCAAAGGTATCAAAGGCAGCCCCAAATGGGGCACCAGGAGTCACCGCTTCCTCATGTGAGCCTCGGACCCCTGCTGATGCAACACGGGTGCGCCCGAAGACGAGCACAGCAACAACTCATGCTGCACGTAGTAGACATTTGAACAGCCAGCAGCGCACGTCAGTGAATAGGGACGGAAGTTATAATGACCGAAGAGAAGTGGCGACAGGATCAAACGGCCATATTTCTCCCCGTCTATCTTCTGCTGCGAAGGGCCCGGCTAGCCCTTGTCCAGCATCTCCTTCCCAACCATTACCCGCGACAGCAGCAACGGCAACACGGCGGTCAGCAGTAGAAAAGGAAAAGAGACTCCCCGGAAATATCATGCCTACGCCTCCCGGTCCTCGAGAAGGCAAAGGAGGCATGCTGCCCACCGCCGCAACAGCAGCAGCTCCTAAGGCGGCAGCAGCAACAACCACACTTCACCGGCTTCCCGCAACAGACTTGCAAAGTTCTCCAGCGAAGGGAACAACGCGCCTGATGAAGATTTCATCAGAGGGTACAACCGCTCCACCACGGCCAGCAGCAGTATCAAGGGCAGCAGCAGAAACCGGAGTAGGAGCAAAACCTGCGGTGCTCAAACCCTTAAAATCAGCAAGGCCACAGACATCCGTACAAGCACCGCAACACTCCAATAAGGACATGGCGCCCCTGCTTCCTGCTTTGGGAACCCCTCATGCACAGCTAAGGCGACCAACAGCAGACGGATCACCAACGGGTTCTCACGAAACAGCTGCTGCTTATGCCCCTCTTCGGTCTAGGCGGAAAAGTTTGCTTGAAGATGCAACAAGCGCAGCCGCAGCAGCAGCAACAGCTGTACCAACAACCGCAGTGGCGGCAAAAACAGCACATCCAAAGTCAACACAGGGGTCTGCCCTTGCACTCAACAGATGCGCTGCGCCGAACACAGGGGCGTCGCACCGAATGTTGAAGGTCGCTGCTCCTGCTGCTGCAGGGCACACTCCGCGGCAACCATCAGCCGTTGGACCAACGGCGAGCAGGTATTCTATTCCCACTGCCGGAGGAGGCACCCCCAAACATCACACTGCAACTGCAGCAGCCGTTAAACCCGTAGCTGGCTCGCTTGGGTCGGTAGTTGGGCCAAAAGTGGCTGCAAACGTTGTTCCAGAGAGCGCCAAGGCAGGGGCTGTAGACGCAGAGGTCCACCAGCCTGCGGCTGTTGGGGCAGGGGCCACCAAAGCACCTGCTATTGCGCAAGAAGAGTCCGACAAACCGCGGGCTCCTGCGAAGACAAAAACGGATACAGCATCTGGAGGTCCCACCACAGCAGCTGGACCGCTGGGAGCGAGACTAGTGTCTCGTCTGTCGGGTCTCTTCAAGAGGGCCGGCAGCAAGGAGATGAAGAATAAGGCGAGTTAAGAACATCAGAATCGAGCATCCTGCTACGAACCCTAGCGAGATGCAAAAACAGGAAGTGCACCTGTTGTGACAACAGCAATTGTGGCCATTCGGTCCCTTGCAGCTTTCGGCCGATCCCTAGCGAAAAAGGGAGCCTCTGGGGTGCCATCTTCCGTGGTGTCTAAGGGAGTTTCTTAGAAGTGAATGCGACGGCTTGAGCGGCCCTACCGGCACATGAGGACTTGGCTGCTGAATCTGTCCCTAGCTTGTCGACATATATCTGGAAAGGAAAGCTGAGCCACATGCAGCCCCGCGTGAAAGGTCCATGAGGAGAGAGCCGGTGTAGTGAGTGAGCACTACAGGGTATTATTTGCGTTGTATTTTTAGTGTAGGAACATCACGAATAGAGTACATTATCTAGAGATCCTCAGACAGAATGGTGACAGAATGGCGACACGATGCTATAGCCGACCGTCACACGGCTCCTTCGGCGGGAGCTATACAGCACTTAGCTTGCAGACGTCGTCTGGAGACACTAACACCTTGCGGACGGGTGACCGACTAGGGAATCTTCCCAGGCTGCCCTGTGCACTGGAACTGGCATTCGAATTCGGCCACAGAACTTTGTTTCTCAATGTTTCTTGGAGCAATTGTTACCTATAATATATTGTTTATATTTCGTCTTTAGCTATCGGTTCAGTTCATCTGGTCGACTACTCCACAAGCTAAATCAGATAACCAGTCGTTGGTGACGACTGTATGACAATTCCTTCCTCTATTCTTGGCTATTCTTACTAGACTATATGGCGTAAACATGTTGCTAATTATTTCCATTGAAAATCCTCCAATAGAATGTATGTATTTACGCATAGATTGCATACACTCCAGCAAACCTGGAGGTGCCCTGTTGAACCCCAGGGCACGACAGGCGGACATTTCTTCCTTGCACGCCCTTAACCTTCCGTAAAAACCCGCTCGATTATTTTGCCATCGAAAGGAACAAGAGGTAGTTGATAATCACAGCACTGGCAACAGCTCCATAATCTGAACGTGAGGGAAGATCTGCTGCTGTAAGAACCGATGCTACAGTTATTATTGGTGTCGCCGCTGCCGTACCAAGCAAGCGCATGGCTTCAAGCACGGGCGATTCAGTTGTGGAGAGTCCACTGCATCTGAAACGAAGGAAATTTACTCACACGGAAGAGGGTAGGGGTGTATGTACCTCGCATTCGTGCTCCGCCTACTGGTCCTACTGTCGCCTTTATGATGTTTTATCTGCTGCTGCTGCGGTTGCTGCTCCTGCTCCTCCTGGTCAGAAGATGGTGCTGGCTCTTTGGCTTTTCCTAGAGCTTCCCCCAGCCGGATGGTGCTGTTCCCTATCTTGATGCCGTTTAGTTGAAGCAAGCACCGTGTAGCGTCCAACGTTGAGCCGAATTCCACAAGGCCAAATCCCAAATGCCGACCCTCTGCAGCCTCAAACAATAGATAAATTGCAATGAGATGAAACTTGACAAAGTGCAGTTGCCAACAACGACACGCACGTACCGCCTCAGCTGTCGACGGCGGGGAAATCGCCGTGAAAGGATTGAAATGAGTGCACCAGAAGAGTCTCGGCTACCAAACATATGCAAAATACGGCCACTGACCGAGAAAAAAACCACGGATATTTATGCTTGTCCACGCTCGACGAATGCCGAGGCGTACACGCACAGCCGCCGAGTAATACTCGCAGTATCTGGCAAACTACGTACTTCCGCGGCCAGCGTACACCGGGAACTGAATGAAACAAAGGGTTACGCTAAGTGGAAGCAAACATAAATGTGGACAGAAGTGTGCCGAGGCAACAAAGTGGAACAGCTGCAGTTACGATCAACTAACTGACCTGCGTTTCTTTTCAACCTCGCATACACGGGGTGCTCTGTGATAGTCTGAAATATGTTCTCGAGGTCAGTTCCTGCCATCCGCAGGTCTATCCCGCAAACGAACAGAAAACGACTCCCTAAAGGCCGAGTCCGCCGCCCCTGTACCAACGAGTTTTCCCTTTCATAACGCCTGTGCTGCTGTCGCTGATGCGGCTTTTGCTGCTGCAGCTCTTGCTGCTGTAGCATGTAAGGTTCGTCTGCCTTAATGTCCCACAGCTTCCGCAATAGCTCAACTGACGATTGCTTCGAGTCAACCAGTAGTTCTCGTTGCTTTTGTACTAATACAGACAATCTGTCGCGCAACATCAGCACCTGCCTGTTGTTGCTGGTGCCGCTGTGTCTCATCAGCAGCTGCTTTGCTTTTCTATACAGCAGCAGAGGTCCAGGGGGAGGGCCTCCTGGTGGAGGCGTTTTGCTTCTCTTTCGTTGCGAGTGGACCTCCCCCTCAACTGGGAAAGGCAACAAAGGTAGGTCGAGATATTTCTGGAGGTCTCCTTCGCGCTCCAACAAGAGCCGTTGTCGAGACAGCTCAAGCAAGTGGCTGCTGCCGCTGTCCCTGGACAAGTGGCGCACGCGCAGGCGCGGGTGCAGTCTAAAACGCCCCCGAGAGAATAAGGCGCTTGTGTTGTTGGTAGCGTTGTTTGCACTGCCGTTGTTTGCTAGACCTGCCGGCGTCGGCAACAACCCAACAAATGCAGTAGCAGATTGGTTGTGCCTCCTGCTGGTGGAGCTGCTACAGCGCCATGTCCGCAGTACTGACGCTCCTGCTGGAGGCGCCTCCAGCAGCAACATGCCCAAACATAGTAATAGCGGCAACAGGAGCAACGCCACTCGCAGTGGCGGCAGCGGTCGCCGCAGCAGCCGCTGCTGCCCATTCATCTGCCCATTAGGGCGCCCACTTAGCGGATGTTTAACACAACTCTTACATGCTACTGCCGTTGTTGCCGTTTCTTCTGTTCCGGCTGCTGCCGTCCTTGCTGCAGGCTGACGCCGTTCCGGAATGTCTCAGCCTGCTGCCCCAAAAAAGCATATCAATCGGATATAAATACAAAAGGAACATAAGACCTATATCTTTCTTCTATATTTTGTTTCCCTCGCTGGCCCTCGAGGACGATTAAGTGCCGGTAGACCGTCCATGCGCGCAGGGGCCCCCTCAGAACTAGAGGAGGGCCCCCCTCAAGACTAGAGGGAGGCCCCCCCCATGACTAGAGGAAGACCACCTCAAGACTAGAGCTGTCCCTTATTCTAGTGGATGGCAGCGTTGGATTTGCTGGAAAATTATCTTGTACTGTGTAAGCTGCGTAGAGCCTGCAAGACAGCAGAGAGACACGTACGCCCGTCCGGGAGGGGCCCCTTTTCAAGTCACCCGATGCTCTGCCCCACTTCTTCCCCCCATAAGTGGGCCCAACGAGGGGCTGAGAAGAAGAAGCATCTTTGTCCTTTGAAATTTAGGCCGTTTCCAAATGTGCAATGAACTTGGCGATACTGCGGCTGCGGCGGCAGTATGGATTGCCGCTGTTACTCCTGCTGACACTGCTGCTGCTGTTGCTGCCCCATCTGCCCGAAGCAAGCTCCTTTTCAGTGGACTTAACCCCCCGTTTTCGCAGGGGACTATCAGACGCCCTTGGAGGGGTTTCCCGCCCTGCGTTCCAGCAGATCCCCCAGCATCTTGCAGAGGGACCGCCGACGCGCCCTACTGGTGCCACCCGGGCGGAATTACACAGACATATTGCGCTACGTCTTAATTCCTGTACATCAGTGCCTCTAGGAACCGCCGCAGCAGCACCGGCTATACCATCAGATACAGATGCAGCTGCAGTATTGAGTGATGAGGTGGGGGAAACCGCTGTCGTCTCTCCTGCAGCAAAAGCTGCAGCCGATATCGAAACTGCCTACACAAAAGTGATCGCTGCAGCAGCAGCAGCGTTAACCTCTGATTCCTTGAACAATAGCAGTAAGAATAGCACCAGTCGCAACAGCAGCCATGACGACGGCGCCGGTGCCTCCCGTTGGTGGACTGCAGCTAGGTCTGAAGCAGTTGAAGCAGCCCGTGTTTCTTTCTTAACGAAAGTTGCAGATGCGTTTGGTCTTCAGAGTGTAGACGATGCAAGTGGTGTGGTATATGTGCACAACAGCAGCAGCGGGAGCAGCGCGAGGCTGCTAGTAGACCGCCAACTGCTGCTGCGGCTGAGGGGAGAGCAGCAGAAGGGCAGCTGGTCTCTCCACTTCCTGGGAACCGGAGCGATGCAGGCCTCGGTGAGCTTGGGAACCCCTGCAGGTGCTTGTACTGCCGCTGCTGCGTTGCCGCCCGGCGCTTTTACCGTGCTAATTTTGGCGCTGCTAAGTGTAGTGTGCGCTAGTACCAGGGACAACAACGCTGGCGTGCATCGTGTCGGCGCAGCCTCTCAACCACGTTCAAACCTTGTTTTGCCGCTCTTGTTTCCGTTTGAAGGATGCTGCTGGAGCTGCTGCGCACAGTGGTTCTGCTGCTGTCGCTTCCCTGGAAATATCCGCCGATTGTTCGGCTGCTGCTTCTGGCTTGTCACTTCAGGCAACTCGGGGGACCTCTTGTATATTGTTTTCCCGTGGAGACGGCTCTGCCTGGCTGTTTGATTGCGGAGGGGGTCCCTCCCCAACCCACGCTGCCACTGCCAGTCGTAGGGCTCCAGCAGGAGCAGGTTCAGTAGTATCTGAAGCAGGTGCCGTAGGAGACCCTGAAAGCAGGTTGCAGCGGGCAGTCGCTGTTGCTGTTGCTGAGGAGGCCATTATGAGGACAAGCCCGGAGGTTGCTGCTGTGCTGCAGCAGCAGCACCAGCAGGAGACGAGGAAGGTTCGGACACTGATTCCTCGCTTCCCTTTACCATTTGCTATTGCATGCGTGGGTGGGTAAGATACTGGTGTTTTGCATATCGCATCGGGATTAGTTATTCTGTCTCCGCTCTGTGCAGAGACGGATGGGTGTGGTTCAACGGGTTTTCGTGACGCATCTTCACGGGGACCACTGCCTGGGCCTCCCTGCGTTTCTGTCTCAAATTGCGCAAGACCCAGAGGAGTAAGCCCTTGACAACTGGTAAAGGAATCGCCTGTCCCCCTCACGTGCTCGATGTCGTCCATTAACCTCGTCGGGCTGCCTCTTTAAGAGCAGTTTCTCTTGTGGCCAGCACGCATAGCGCACATATTTCATTGGCCTGCTGTTGCGCTGTTGCAGGGGACCCAGACACATCGAGATCGTGGGGCCCGAGGGGCTTCGCAACCTTCTTCGTTGCATCTTGCATGTGTGTTACGTCAAGGACTGAAGGTTTAGGGTACACGGTTGATGGCCTAAGATTTGTGTTTCAGTCTATGGAATTTAGGATAAAATATGGTTGCTGCGCTGCGTTAAAGTCTAGAACCCAGCGTCCAGGGAAAAGTGTTTTAGCCTTGCGCGTGTTGAATATGCCACCCTGAAGTGTGGGAAGATTCTGAAAAGTTGAGCAAGGTTAGTGGCAGCACACCACTTGGTCACTTTGGGCGCTTTGGCATTTGGCTCTGTGTGTTCAGGGCACCAGTGCGCGTCGACTGCCCTCGTTTTCGGTCGTCGAGCTGCGGGCCGTCCCCCACCTTCACCACAGGCGATCGCGGTCCATCCGCCTGCCATTTTTGCCTCCGTGAGCTCAGCTCTGTTGCAGACAGCGGCACAGCGTGGGAAGACAGTCAAGCATATCGGCAGAACCAGAGACGAGGATCTGCTGACCATATATTTCGGTGCAATCCTGCCGTTTGTATAGGGCATAATTTTGTTCTTTGGGCAGCAGCGGTAGCTTCTGTTGCCGCTATTGGGGTCCAAGCTTCTGAACAGGCAGCTACGGACTGGTTTTGTCTGCTGTTGTTGGAGTTCAGGGCCCCGTCAGAGACCGTGGGAAGGGGGGACATTGAACCAAACGCCGATGGCAGTTACGTGGCCTTTGAAGACTCCGAGATACTTGTCACGGCTGCGCCAATAAGGGTGAACTGGCTGCCGCTCCTAGCCCAACCGTTTCTCAGGGATGCAGTCAAAGAATATTTATTTGTTTGCTACGGGACTGACAGCTTCATTTCTAGCAAATCCAGGCGCAGTGGAGGGGGGCAGCATTTTTCTGTTTGTTTGACAGGGAATGGCAGCAGCTGAAGGGGAATCGTTTACGCGAGACACAGCAGTAGCAACAGTAACAGCCACGCAAACATGCATAAACAGGTCTTCGTGACGGGGAGTGTACCTGCTACATTGCGTGTATCCCCCCGTGACTTTCATGCTGCTTTGCGTATGCAGCACCTGGTGCCTTGTGTGGGATACGTGCTGACGGAGAAGAAGTCACGCCACCGCCTTCGGGCCGACGTTATCGATCCTGTCATTGAAAAGAACTATCGAAGCCTGAAAGATCTTGACAAGTGGCCACAGCTCCGCGGGGAGCCCAAGGCTGTGTACAAGGCAAGGCCTGTTCAACACAGAGAAGCAGTGCCTATCACCATGAACATTAACTGCATTTCCTGCAGCCGTCCTGTTCTGCACAGCAAATGAGCGCAGCATAGAGGCTTTAGGTATCCAGTTTGGCGTACGTCGGCGGCAGTTTGCACATTTGCGACTCTTTTGGGTAGGTAGGCCCTTCTACATGGGGCCTGGGCGCAGATGAAACAGTGTTTGTCGCATGTTGCTTGCATGCTGCTTGTAGCTTCTCGCTGAACTAAAACCTGGCGACGTCTTTACATTCCCAGATGGGACCCAAGTTGGACATTCCGATATATTCCTCGAGGCCCCCCACCCAAGGAAGATATGCTTCGCATTTGACACATGCGACGCCTCCCGGTTACTCCCGTTTGCTCATGGGGCGGACATTCTCGTAAGAACTGCTGCTGCAGCTGCTGCCGAAGCTGCAGGCAAAACGGGGAGAGGCGTTGCCGGTCTTGTGAAATGCCGTGATCTTACGGTCCTGCTGCTACTGTTGCTACAGGTGCATGAAGCGACGATGAGCGGTGTGAAGGGAACGTCATGCAAATCGGATCCCTATTCAGATACGTTGCTTCCGTTGGCTCCGCCGATGTTGGAGAAGGGAGAAGGCCTATATAATGGGTACGGGGAGGGTACAGGTTGCAGTGCAAAGGACCTCATGGGTTCCCAGGTCCAGACTGCAAGTGAGGCAGCGTTCGAGAGGGGCCACTCCTCTGCGGCAATGGCAGGCAGGTGAGGAAAAAGGCTGTGTTTTCTATGGACAGCTGTCCTAATCTACGTGTACTGCAGCCTGCTTTCACTTGCGGGGTGGGAGATGACGCGCTAGGAATGCGCCCAGTGCGAGGCATAGAGGGGATTACAGGGTTTTGTAGTGGTTTTGACGACCTCTTCTGGGCAAAAGGCATCCAGATTAGCGAGAGCCTGATCAGTACGAGTTTTATTTGTATCCTCAGCTTCGCATTTCGCGCGGGCGCTGCCCGGTTGGTGCTGACGCACTTCTCCCAAAGGTACCGGGGGGACCCAGCTCTGCGCAGTGTTCTTGCGATGGAACGCGTAGAAGACGAGGCCAGGTCGGTAAAGTATCTTATCCACCGCATAGCAAGCAAAGAAGGATGTGTACTTCTTAGTATGTATGTTAGTGCACGTTTAGTTGCTTGCCTTTCCGCCTTGTTTCATCCCACGTGGTTCCAGGACGTCTTTGAATACAAGCTGCTTTCTCAAATAAGAATGTGGTGTGAGAAATGTTTGTGCGACTGCGGGTTTACAGACGGGCCTACGATATAGAGCGGCAGCTGCAGAATGCCCCTGATGTGCCTCCCTTAAAAGTGACGGCCGCCTGGGACGGACTCGCTGTGGTACTACCCCAGCGCCCGCACCTGCGTGCTGAACACGCTCGGAAGGCTTAAGAAGCCGTAGCAGCAACTGTGGCTACCACCTGAGAGCTCCCGCGTTAGCCAGAGGAAATGGGATATCCTCGTCACTGCTCTACGTATTTGTATTGTAGATTAATACGTATTCGAGTTTGCTTATGCAAAAAACATATAATGTAAATGCGGACATGAGCACAGGGCTGTACACTGCTCTCAAGTGCAGCGCTGTTACTGCTGTATTTTTGCGTTTGTGGATGCGCACATGAGCGAAAGTCGGATAAATACACATCAAATGCAATCAGTATGTTGGAACAACTGAGAGCTAAACAAAATTCGAGGGATTCAAACTCGTTGCGAGGTTATATATGTCAAAACTTTGAAAAATTGAATTAGTTCTCCTCCAGGCGCCGCCGCCAGCGGTCGAATTCGTCCCTACGGAGTACCCCGGCTCTGGCCTTCGCTTGTAATTTTCTTGCTTCTGAGTCCGCTAGAACGGCTGCCACTGTTCTCAGTCGTGCTAGTGCCTTTGATTCCTCTTCAGCTACTGCTTTAGCCTCTGCTGCTGCCGCTTCCGCTGCTTCTTGTGCAGCTTCCCTCGCTAGTTCTGCTGCTGCTGCCGCTGCAGCGTCTGCTGCTGCTTGCCTGTCTGGGTCCCCCGCTGCTGCTGCTTCCACTGCTGCTGCTGCTGCTCTCTCCGCTGCGTCCCCGAAAAACGCGAATTTGAAGTGCGTTGGTGGTACATCAGAACAGGGTGAGCGGACTTTGACGGTTTCTGGAGGGAGGAGCGAGACCACCGGAGCAACGCACTGAATATAAACGGCTTCATCAGCATTTCGTGCCCAACCCACACGAGCTCTGTTCATACGAAAATACCAGAAGGGCTTCCTGCGTCTCAAGCAACTCCGCCTCTGAACCGACAATGTCCTGTAGACAGGCAAATTAGGCTCATCGTCTTCGCTTGAAGACGAAGAACTGCTATCAGCTGTTGAGTTTGGCTTGAGGATGGAAAGCAGTGTGTAGCACAAGGGATGACTGCGCGAGATATTTCGACTCAGTGTTTTGGCTACATCTGTTGCAGAATGGGCCCCGTGGCGACACCCTAGACGCTCCTGGACCCCTTCTGGCCCAGGAGCTGCACACGCAGCAGTCCCTGATAAATGCGCCTCCATTTCAGCAATCTTTTCTGCGGTCGCCCGTAGTTCAGGAGCTGCTGTTGGGGAAACTATGCCAAAGGCGAGCAAGTGTTTAACGATCGATGCAAAACTTTTCTTCGGAACCGCTGATGCCAAGAACTTTGCTCTTTCCACCTCCTCTTCTCCGGCCATGGGTACCGCTGCCCGTATTTTGGAGAGCTGCGACACGTCAATTACTGCTGCAGAAGCGTATTGCTCCGCCACAGTATGTGTGGCAGTGGCCGCCTCAGAAGCTACTTCCTCGGGGATTGCGGCGGTCGCGGATGCTTGTTCAGGAACTGCTAGCTCGCAGACAACGGGGAGAATGCCCTCTCGATCAGGAATCACTGGCGAGGCAACCGCGAGACCTACTACTTCTTGTTGGTCGGTAGTTGCTATGGGGGATACTCGCCTCCCCGAATCGTCAGCGAGTTCGCCGTATTCGCCCGGGAAGAAGGCAAAAGAGGTAGTAAAGCCCCGAATGAAGCCCCTTACCTTTGATACGTCTGTTGAGCCAGCAAGGGGCATCTTTCGAGGCATGTTTCGGTTGCTTGCTGCGCCTTTTTCACGTGCCTTATAGGGGAATATGTCTATGTTATGCAACTCCCTTCTGGCGGCTCTCACGTATTCCAGTTCCATTTTGGCCCTTTCGCGCAGCTGAGCCTGCAAACGCCTTCGTTCAGAACGGCGGTTTTGCCGTTCCTTCTTCGCGCTTTGGTCCTCTTCGTAGCCCTGTACTTCCGACGGCTTCTCACCCTCCTTTGTGGAACCCTGCAGGGAAGAACAACAAGCTCAAGAAAGGTACCAGTTAGCTTTAGGGTTGTCTGTACGTCAAAGGCGACGTAAAGGAATATCTTGTCTGCAGAAACGGGCTGGTGGTCCACGCATATTCCCTGCCTAATGCCCACCCACACCACAAACGGTGACTTACAATTAGCGTAGCGGTGATCCATGTGGCTGCAAGGGCTTGTGAGCTGCGGAAGAAATGACTGGTACCCACTAGGGATTGAATTCCATTCCAAGGACCCATTGCCCCACTAGGTGATGTGCACGCTTCCTGCTGCGTTGGCGGGTTGCCGACAACCGACCGGATGAGAACCAGTGGGAGCCAGCACGAGCTGCAGAGTGGCAAGGCCAACGAAGACAACTCTAAAATTTTACTCTAGGTGCTGCAGCGCTGCTCCCGCCATCCAGCGAAACTACAAACCAGCAAGGTCACTTGTGTGCAGCGCGGGATGGCGGCAGAACCTGCCAAACGGCCCTTCTAATCCACAGAATCAGAGAGTTTAACATCTATTAGCGAGAAAAGTATTCCAGTATCTGCAAAATTCGCAGCATATGATAATGCCGATGACGCCCGCGAAGGAAAGAAACAACACCCGCGGGACGCAACGTAGCCGGCAGGTGACGGCATATTAATGACGACTTCCTTTGTTTTACTCCACGCAACAGCATACAACAACTTAGCAGCAAAGGAAACCATGCCAGAAACAGAATTAAAAGCAAAACATGCGCCCTAGTAGGGTCGCAACACCGGCTTTGCTAAGAGAGAGCAATTGACCAGCGCGGCCGAGACCGTAGGGCCGCCCGACGCCCCAGACCGAGCAACGACCCGACTGGCATGGCAGAACGATTTACTCTGCTAGTGTATTATTCTAGAAGCCGCGAATAACCAACATTCCCCATGGTAATCCTCTGGTCTACAACTCAGTCATGCGGTTCCAGCCGTTGCTTCCGCTGTGAGGGGCTTTCTGTTGGTCAAACTCGTTCCTTCTCGTTTCCATTTTTAAGCTCACATACGTAATCATTCATGTTTTAGTGGAGCATTGCCATATTTCGTTCACAAATACTAGTCATACCCGCACACACACTAGTTCGAACTCGAACGTGCGACCTACGCACTGCTTCTGCTTGGACGTGTACCCCTTCCCTGCTTTGAACCACCTCATGGATATTCCTACTTGGCTTGGGATTCAAAGTTGGCTCAAAGTAATGTCCTCAACTTCTGTTGCCTGTGCAACTCAGTGCAGAACCAACGTCTAACAATCTACGCTACGTTCTATTTTGTGCATAGCACTGGCGCTTTAGGCAGCTAAACCAGGCGCTGCCGCACCCCTGAGCTAACAAAGTAATACTTAAAATAATAAATGAAGTATTTAAACACGTTTCAGCGGCTCCATAATGTAGCTCGCTCGTGAAGATCATCCGCTCTCCCGTAGACGCATCGAGCGGAGCGGCTCTCCACTACTGGAGCTCTCGAGCACTTACTTCTGGCATCTGGCTCATAGTGATCACATCCGTCCAGGAGTCATATTAAATGACCGCCTAGCAATGCTCCAGTTTCATACTTTAGTGCAGCAGCTTGGTCACCAGCACACCCGTTGGTTGTAACACCACATATTTTGTACAAGTTCACGATTAGCGAACGTATGAAGGTCCTAGACGCAGCAGAGGCTGAGCGCGGTCAATATTGCTGTCTGCCACTTGCTGGATAAGAAGTGCATCCACTTCATCTTCCTGAAAGCACAAATTAAGGCAAGTGGGTACACGCCAAGCACAATGCGCAAAGAAGTACATGGAAAACAGCGAACACCAACAGGCCCAGCGGCAAGATGACAACAGAAGAGAGTGAAGAACACGATGAAACGCCAAGATATAAAACGAGCACCAAGCAACGATAAGGATACGCCGAGGAACAGTTACTATGCGCAAACAAACCGCTTGATGCCTGATTGGCTAGGAAGTGCACCAAGATAAAGATGAAGTGAACATGAACCTTAGCCACGAAGAGTGAAGTGATTCTTCGCGGTGGATCCCTTGGGCGCTAAGCCCACGGTACCTTCTCGTATACCCTGATTTCCTGACCCTTCACAGGGTTCTGGTTTGCTGTTTCAGGGGAGTGCAGCAGGAAGTAAGGCCACACAAAATTGCTTACTAGCATTCTCTCATGAAGCCAAGTGAATCTGTCAGACAGAATCTCCTGAGTGTCTAGGCGCCGCATTCTGGCCGTCATGTATGTGGACTGCGCCGCGCACACAGCAGCCAAGAGATTCGCCATTACGCTAAGTTAGATCGGAATGTTACCCCTCATAAGAGCCCACCTTCAGGGCAAATCCGCACTTGAAGGCTTACTTTGGCACCCCAATAAACAAATGGCACGGAGAACAAAGCAATGACCGTATGCCCTGTACTCCACTGGAACCGCTCATTCCGCAGCTGTGAGGATGCCCTGCAGACACACGTTCGACCAGCAGAACTAATACAATCGACATTCGTCACTTCCCATAGATGTCGCTATTTTCGCTTCAAGATGCGGCAGCAGGGCGAGCTAGGAGCATGCGAAATCGGCAGGCATAGCCGGCTCAGAGAAAGCCAGGAAGCTCCTGCAGGTGAAGAGGTCGAGAAGCAGGCGAGACACAGTCGAAACAAAAAGAACTTCGGCCTACAGTTTTTCCTGGATTAAACGCGGTACGCCGAGGGGGGCGCGCAGAGCGCGCGAAAGGCCCACCATGGACTGGAGGGTCCTCATACAGGCGAAGGAATCAAAGTTGGGGCAAAAACCATTAAGCGCAGTTTGCATGCTATCCTTTTCGAACTCTAACATGTCGGCTACCTGACAACCTGTCATGATGCGGATTTCAGCCCTTGCAGCCCAGCTCTTCTGCACATGCAAGTTTGGGGCTCTCGCAGAACCGCCATCGGGGCATGCACAACGAGTTTTATTTTGTGCCCTATTACATTCCAGGTATTGTTCGTTTTAGGTAAGGAATGAGCAAAATTGTGTTGTACCTCTTTGAACATCCTTCCGCGCGAGCCCTTCCCTTTGCTTGCCACCTCCCCCGCGAGGGCGATGGTCTCTGCTGACTGCATCTTCTGACATGAAATCCAAGTGTTTCTGCCTTTGATTGGCTCATGTTTTCATCTAATCAGGAAGGGGTAGGCGGTTGTTCCTTATTTGTGCAATGCGCAGCTACTGGTCTCTGACCGCTGCCCGTGCTGCTTGCTTCTACGAGAGGTGTCCCTGACGTCTTGCGTGCCGTTTATCATTCATTTAATATTCCTGCCAGCACAGACGCGTTCACGTGCGAGAGGGGGGCTGCATTATGGTCGGGGCTGTCTCGGTGGGGCGAACGATCCCCCACCACAATCGATACTTCACCGACAGTTTGCAACCGCACCCGTTGGAAGGGCGAGAGGCAGTATCCTCGCCGGTGGTACCATACAGGAAGCCACCTGTGTGTTTTTTTTGCTTTGAAGAGGGCCATGAATCTAGTAAATGCACATCCGCTGGCGTTTTTTGCAACACCTGCGGCGGGGAGGGCCACGGTGCAGAAGATTGTCCTCTGTATTTTATGGAGCTCAGTATTAGGGGTCAGCTGACGGCGTACATACAGCAAAGGAGCCAACAAGCCGAACAAAGGCGAGCAAACGCGTCAGACAAGGGTCGATTCCCTGCCCAAGATCCTGAATCATTGAGGAGCAGCAGCAGTGTCAGCAGCGGCAGCGACACAATGTCAGCTGTCAAAAGAAACGCAAGACGCTTAACATTCTCTGCTGTGCAGTGCATCGTTTGTGGGTGCATGGGTCATGCGAACTGCAGTTCGCCTCCACGGCACCAAGGGGTGTGCCACTGCCCGCGTTGTTCTCACCCAGGCCACACGGCAGCCGAATGCCCACGCTATACCGGTGGTCGCCAGCACGGGATTTTCACCGATACATCTGACAGGAAGTCGTCTTCTTGGGGCGTGGGGGCAAATAAAGTTAAGTCGCCCAAACTTCACAAGACGAAATGGCAAAAACAGAGAGAGGCCGCTGTAGCTAGGGCAGCTGCGGCTGACCCCTGGCATCCCCTGCATCTTCAAAGCTGATGCCTTTTTATTCTGCAGTCGCTTTCATGCTTGTTATGCCAGTTCCCAACGCATTGTAGAGTCATGAGGAGAAACAGGGTATATAACCATCGGTAGTACCTCAGTTATTGCTTAGGAATCGCTTTACAGATCCATTCCGGTAGATTGTGTAGGGGTTACGTAGTGTTATGGGGATTAGTTTATGCTCAAATGTATTATGTGTTCATCTCAGGGGGACCCTTTGTGGCATGCACTAGTTCTTGCTATGCTAGTTAAATCCTAAAGCGATGAACTCGCAGCGTGAACTCGCAGCTAAGTAGCGCAGGGTAGAAAACCTGCACTTGCAGTTCCCTCGCGTCGCTGGAAAGCAAAGGCTGCTGAAGTGCGATCCATACCTTTGTGATTTTAGTTCTCTCTATACCGTCAACTTGGCCAAGACAAACGGGCTAGCATAATAAATACAAAATCATTAAAAAGTTATTCGCGTTGCCCTAAGGCTACGCGCGGTGCTGTTGACAGCGGTCTCTCGCTGTTCGGTTGAGTCGTTTTTCGTCGGTTGCATATTTGAACCGTTGAAGGACCCAGTGCACTTTGCCCCGAATGCACATCAGTTAACGCTGCGTGGGCACACTTCGTATCACTTCGACAACTCAGGAGTGGAGAACTTTTGTAAGGTGCTGCTTAGCGTTACCTTTCAGAAGTTCGGTCATCCACCGAGGGGCTAACTGCTCCTCCTACGAGTCTACCTGCAGAATCTGTCCTGGGAAAAGTGCAGGGAGATCCGTTCCCTTCGCAGGGCTTTTGTGCAGTGATCTTCAAGTAGCCATGGCGACCGCTGCATAAGAGCCTTCTGCGAAGGAACTATGCAATGATCTTAAAATAGACAGAGCTGTCGATGTAGCCGTTCCGCATAATTTCTCATTGATATATTTAGCCGTAAGTGTCTTGCGACAATAAATAGGCCATAAAAGTAGTCTGCGATTATGCTGGCCCCTGCCGCAATCATGTAGCAGGGACGCCGGCACTCTAAATCTCGTGTGATGTTTCGTGGGTCGGTGGGCCGTTATAGTTCTTTGGAAGTGTCTTGCCTCTTCTCAGTTGTCGCGACCTGTCGTTTGCTGGTTGTAGACTTTCCCATGGAGTACCTGCGGTGGACGCAGTTGCCTTCTTCAGCATCCATTATCGGGGGTTGTGGGGCTGCTGGGGCTACTGCCTAGTTGCAAGTTCGCTGGAGTCGTCAGGCGTCTACATGCCCTTAGAGTAGACTTCTCCACGAGATCTGTAGTGCTCCTTGTAACTGGCTGTTGGGTGGACGGACTTCCGGCCTCGACAGTCACCACTTCTGCCACGGGGTGCCAGCTGACGACACTCTTGCGCGCTGTCGGGGCTTCAGGAGAATCCTTCTTTGCTTTGGGCAACTCGCCACCTGGCCACCTCACAGCACTCTTACGGGTTGTAGCAACTTCATGGGACGTTTCTTTCTGTGGTTCCTGGCATTGTTCGTTTTGGCAACTTCCAGCACCCTCATCAGTGGAAGGAGACGCAGGAGACTCCTCATCCTGCTCGTTTTCTAGCTGGTCGTTGGCATCCTGTTCCTGCTGAGTGTCCTCCGACGGATTTGCATCTGGTGGCCCTTGTTCGCTCGGGCTGATACTGCTCTGAAGGGTGGTTGTAGCGCCTTCTGCAGGAGGCGAAACTTGATCATCGTCTTCAAAAAGTTGGCCACAAAGTCCTGCTTCCTCAGCTTCGCGGCTCTGATCACGGCGGCCAGTCACTTCGTCGCGGAGCTGGGATTCCTCTGCCTCTTCGGCTGCCTTTTCCTCAAGTTCCATTACTCTTCTAAGCTTGTGCCAGGCCCTCCGTGAGACGGCTACAGGCCGTCGGTCTCGCTCTGGCCCTTGTGTATCCGAACATCCATCAGGTCGCTCGGGCTCGTTCATCGGCGTCGGTGGAGGTGTTGGGGGAACTGAATGGCCCTCTTTCCCTTCAGACTCAGAAGTGACGGAACTTTCCACGGTTTCGTCCGTTGGCGTATCGACGAAGTCGACGTTACTTTCAAACGGGTAATAAAATTCGGCCAGGTCCATCTCAGCGGATTCTGCCAAAATTTCCCATTCAGTTTTTTCCTCCTCGAGAGGCGAACGCTCTCTCCAGCGTCTTGATCGCCTATTCGTTGTCACGTCCATGGCGGTCGAAAGGAAACCCCCAGCGCTTATTCTTTGGCCAAGCCTGTTCTGTGGATTGGCAAACAATAATGGAAAAGTTTCCCCGGATCTCGCCCGCTGGAAGTTTGAGCAAATAGTATTTATTAATCAACACAATAAGGGAATGTGCAGCCCTTTGGGTGAGTGACAGTATTGGCAACCAGGCCTTGTCGCTAGCCCGACCGGTCCACGTGTGTATGGCAGCACTTGCGCGCAGTAAACCCTTGCAGGCAACGCCCTATCTTTTTATTTGTTTGCTTTACAGAAATAGTTTAGAAGTAAGCACAGTAAGAGAAAAGCTTTCCTGGTGTGACCGCGGAGGGCATTGCTTGAGATGACGGGTGACCCTATAGCCTGCTTTCGCCAGGTAGGCAGCCAGGCGGGTAGGCAGCAAACGAGCCGCGGCATTGGCTAGCCATAACTGCTCCTGGAACCGCTTGATATGTGCATGTTACCATTACTTCAAAGGGTTTTAGAGAGTGTCTCGATGTTTCCACTAAATTTCCGGTCGGTCGACGAGCATCATCACACCCTCTCGAGTGAACAGTGTCTCTGGATCCGTCGCTACCCGTTTTCCTATGACCAGTTCAAAATGCAGAAAGACGAGTAAAAGGAGACAGAGATGCATGATATCCATATATATAAGGTGAAAACATCTGTCTAGCCCTTACACTGATCTCGTGGCGACACCTGCGTCACAGGTGTCCTCTAGTGGCGGCTCTTGCGTAACGCATGACATCGCAGCATTTATCCTGAGATCTAGAGTAGCTTTGCTTGTATTACAAAGACAGCCTACACTATGCGGTTCCAGCACGTAACATGCCGTTTTAAGGCCTCCGCCAGGAAAATCTTGCTGCTTCTAGCTGACGTTTTCACTCCTTGTTGGGTGGGCGCGTCAGCATCGAGTGTGTGGCGAGCCTCTAGGTTACCTCCAAGATAAAAGCCCTCCTCTGATCTGTATGTAGGGTTGGTAGGTAACATGTGTCTCGTGCGGCTCAAATAATGGAAAAACTGATGTTTACTGCTTCCGCTGACATGTGCCTTCATGCACACTGTGGGGTACTCCCAGAAGGGATGAGGTTCAAAATTCCGGTTGGGTGAAACTAGACCAGATGCAGAGGTAGTTTGGCAGTGGGCGGTCCATCAAGTTCGACGGCATGTAACGGGCCTCAGTGCGGCCTCAAGGGAACGATATACTTTGGCGCTTGCAGAACACTTCGGCATTCCCTGTGTAAATCACTACCTAGAAGGGCTTGAGTACTGACTAACTGCTTTCAGTACTGAGTTTTCTTTGTGAATTTCTCCAAGTACCGCAAACCCGGATAATAGCCGGCTGTCTTTCTGCCAACTGTTTACCTCGTAGAAAGCTCCAATATAACGCTATGTTGCTGTGTTGCTCTTCCGTTAGTCTGACAACTATCGTGGAGCCGCTGAACCGTACATACGCGGTGCCAGATACAACATTAGTAACGAGGTAGAGCAACCACAAACTTATGCCTTAAGGACGTACAGGACATCCGATCTAAAGGCACTAACAACGCCTAGCGATGTCGCAACAGGCAAGGGTCAGTAGAAAAAAACGGAAGCCTCATTAAGAAGCATCAAAAGGACTTTCGACCACCCTAAATAAAATCCAGGCATCCAACGCTGCACATTGTCCGCCCTCTGGACGACTGGCTCCACATGGAGCCAGTGACAAGCGTGAACACAATGGTGAACTTCACAGCAAGACCGCCATGGTGTTAACAAGAGGTTTGTGAGGGCACTGCGCCATCTAACCTGCGCTTCCACGCGCGCGTCGGGGATCTTGTCTCTTTGGAAGTGAGACTTGCGCAGTCCCAGTTCCTGCATGTCCCGAGATACCACCCGCGCCATGCGTTGGCGGACCTTCATGCTCAAGCTTGACAGGAGATCCCAGATGATCTAGTTCGAGCCGGACTGTCACATTCATCGAGGCCAGCTCGTTGGACAAATACCTGCACCAAAGGCACAAACGCATACCTAATGAGCCACCATGTCAAGTACTGCAAGCCAATACTGAGGCCCGGGAAGTCATGAAAATAAAAAACGTTGCCACATAAGTGAAGCATCCCACCTGAATATGTATGGCAATTGCACAAGCCGGCATGGCAAGGCGCAGATCCGACAGAGAGGCACCGGCCTCTTTCCGCCGACGGAGCGCCCCTTGAGGTTCGGCGACTGAGCTGGGGACAAGATACTCCCACAGCTGGGGCAACAAAACGCACGATGTGCGTCCGAACACTGCGAAATCACACCCCACAGGCAAACACCAACGAGTCAATTCAAGTTCATAAAATATAAGCATTTGGAAATCCGACGGAACGAAAAGGCACCACAATAAAAAGGCAAAACAAAGAGTTCCATACATGCAAGAGTCGATCTTGGAGCAGCGCTGCGGCGCCGTGAGCAATAAGGGCATCCCGCTCCATTTCGCCAAAACGGACACCTCCATGCCGCTTACGGCCCTTTACAGGCTGATGAGTTAACGAATCTATCGGACCGGTCGCACGTACTTGTGCTTTGTCCGTTACCTACGCAACAACGACAGAGGCGCTAAGACAGCAAAGCGCTTTCGTGTTCAAAGTTGTGGCCCAACCCACTGCCTAAAATCGTCAACCCTAAACCTTAAAATCGTCAAGAGCATCACTGTCAGAAGTATGTTCGTACCATGTGCCTAAGACGCTGATAATATATAAGGCCAGTAAAGATGTGACAGGTAAGGGGTACTCCATAGACGCCGCTGTAGAGCTCCTCCCTCCCATAGTACTGGTAGCCTGAATCATGCAGAGATCGCTTCGAAAAATGCTTGTCTCCGAAGGGAACACCCCCAAAATCACTCAACACTCATAGAACGGCTGAGTTTGCGCAGAGCGTGTTCTGCAGCGCTTCGCGCGTACTATTTGACCTGCCGCAAGCGCCAATGGACCAGCTGCTCACCTGAGGCCAAAAGTGCTTTACCGAAATAATCTACAGGAGTATCGCCTTGCTCTTGGGCTATTGCCTCTTCTTCAGGCGTCCGGTAACGCTCCCCACGTAGGACATATCCTGCAAATAAGCGAAAGATTTTGTTTCTCCCGCATGCGGTTAAGTAGTGTAATTGGTCTATATACGCTGAAAGATACTACTGGATGCATAGCTGACCGTGGTGTCCTTCTTGGTCGATCCACCGATTTCCTGTCTTCTGCTGTTTCTTGAACTCTCGAAAGGCCGTTGCGTCCTGCAAAATTGTCATGCTCGGAAACGTGGCTCTTGCAACGCCAGCACCCTTGCGTGTGCACGAACAATATTAAGTTAGAATACATGCTTCATCTAACGAAACCCCTCCCTCTAGGAATCGGTTCAGCAGTGGCCTCTACGTAAACACGAATAAGGTCATATACCTGAAAAGCTCCATGGACTGCTGCTGCCTTGCCAGCCATACTCTCAATAAGCATGCCGATCGTCATACGACTTGGAAAGCCGTGCGGATTAAACAGTATATCTGGTACTAATCCCGATTCCTGAAGAGGGCCAAATTGAAAGCAGAGTAAGCCAAGTTAACACAGCATCACGACAGTTGCCCTGTCATATGAAGTGAACATTATTTCACACAGTTCCTAGGCTGAATGGTTGCTCAGCCTTACTGAAAAAGGCATATCTTCGTGAGGCCAAAGCATGGACAAAATGCCCTTTTGCCCATGTCTGGACGCGAACTTGTCGCCGATGATAGGTTTCCGAACGCTGCGTAGGCGGAGGGATGCTCTGCAGCCCCTGAGGCCGGTTTTCAGGACCCGTTCTTCTGCAGGCGCAGGGGACGAAGTAAGAGTCACGCCGTCCACGTAAGCTGGCTCGTCATCCTTGTAGACGGTCTGTTGTGCAGGCGCCTGGGCAGCCGTTGAATGCGTGTGCCTCTGCGATCTGGAAACCTCACACGTAACAACAACCTTATGATTAAACCTCCGCTTTAAGTCAAGAGCTTGAGAAGTTGCAATGGAAGTCACCAATCAAATCCGGCATTAAAAGCCACCTAATCAGCCCAGTATGTACCTGCAAAGAGTCTTTCCCTGAGTGACCTTTGCACCGATAGCTGGAAATCCATCAGCATCAAGCGACGGGATGCACCTGCGGCCGAGCTTGCTAGTATTCGAGAACTGGTACTCCTCAGCCTCTTGCTGTAGCACCACAACGCACCGCACCGCACGGTTAATTGCTCGCTGCAAGTTGGGTGTCCAGCTGTTCTGCACTAAAAGGCGTCCAATATCTCGCCATACGCAAACTGACTCAGCTACTCCACAGCCGTTAGAGTAACTCACTGCACGCGATCCACTTGGAGCGGCGTCTATTATCTTGGTTTTGTAGACACATCCATGGAACAAGCCACGTTCCACAGATGACTTGTTGAGAATCATGGCATCTTCCATGTCAAAGCTGCAACCACATGCATTCCAGGTGTTCCGGGGAACCGCGTCCGTTTAGCTGTTAGAGAGTATAAAACCAAACGTGGAGATGCAAAGTTCCACAACAAACCACGTTAGTGACTGTGCATTCTTATGTTGATTCACTATTATATTGAAAATGGCAAGGGAAAAAAGCGGTACAACTGAAGTTACCCAGTATAGCACATGACGGCAACAACTGCGTTCACTCCAGTTGGATAATCATCGAAATCAATTTGCCGGTAATCTCGAGTCCGTAAAAGAGGTTTCTGCGGAGTTATGAGGCGATAGGCCTTGTTGTCATGCCTAAACGGTATCGCATGGAAAGGCGTGCCCATGGTCTGTTTTAACATTTGGCACTGATAGATGTTCCTGCAGAAAGGCATTTCACAGACAAGGCTTGACACAAACTGCTAAGGTATTGCTGTTCAGTGAGAACCCCGAATGCCTTCGGGAAGCCAGACCAGCAATGAGGGCGAACATAAGCCCGATTAGCACCGTATCAGTCAAACAAGAAAATAAGCTCTCAAAATACCTTGGGCTTTGGTTATGATTACTAAATGGAGTGAGCGCCGCCGTGACACTAAGGAAAGCCGTTGGGCTCAGTTCGACGTAGTCGTAATGCAGTGGAACATGGCTGGTGGCCAGGGCCTCTCGAGATTCTTTCACACTGCTCAGAGTTCTGGAGTCACTTCGACGCGTCGACGTGTCGCCTTCGGCATCGAGCAATCCTTGGTAAGCATTTTCCAGCCTCTCCAGACTGCTCTGATTCTCCGTTTCCTACGCGTTCAAGCCGGTGCAGAAATGCATTTGCATCAATTTAACAATATGCAACACGGTGCCCATTAGACGTGTGGCAATTCAGACCCACGTGGCATGTAAGAATCGCTGATGCTGACGCGAGAAAATGCCTCTGCTTCCACAACGATTTTCAGGAAGGGCTTGTGCTCACCTCTGTCTTCACTCCTCCTGTACTTTGATCTCGTAGAAGTTCTTGAATAATAGGGAGGTGAGCCTTCATAGAACGCTCATTAATCGCCACGTTCCGGTCACGGCACGCGATAGACATCCACGGTTGCTGTAGAGGCCCTATGAACTCAACGCTGCACGAAACGACATATGTTGCACAAATAGGGTAAACTGGCAAGGCGAATGCTGGTCAGTACACCGTTGCCTCCACGCCTGATGCTCCTAATCCTCTTACCGTCCGCTAGCCAAGTGCTTAACTGGACGAACAAGCCGGCCGGGCATTGTAAACATAAAAATGCCTTCGAATTGCTTGCTGAGCAGAACAAGTCACCACGCAAAATGTGTTCCCAGTGAGCAGTCGTACATCGCTTCTAGGCAACCCACATCGGTGCATATTGGAACAAAGATGCAAACGTGGGGTGTAACCAATCTGGATCCGCGCCTACCTCTCCTCATCAAATCCAACTAACTCCCAATGAGTTTTAAATCCTTCTAATCCACATCCTTTTGCGTGACGTAACTGGTCGAACCAAAATCCAAACTCGGCTTTCCGTATCTTGCACACAACTACACCGTCAACAACGAGAGGTATGCATTTCACGCCTCCCCTGCCAAGCTGCCCGACAGCCTGTGCCCCTGCAGCAGCCCCAAGATCCGAAGGAGGCAGTCCTGAGATGCCTTCAAGATCTACGCATGCCCCACGGGCCTTCATGAACAGCCGTACAGCTGCCAGTGCCTGCAACCGCCAACAAGCAGCACGGTAGTTGTGGCAGTAAGGTCTTGGCCCAACGCCAAGGACCACCCCCTTTGCGAAAAACAACCGAAAAATATTGACTTGACCTCGGCCAACACGTAATTGTGAGCTTATCAATCCGTTTGACCGAGCTGCTTCTTTACAATGCCCGGGCGGATTGCTGTGCTATCACCCTGGACCACCTCTACTACGAGTTCCTGTCTCACCCCCCTGTCAGGCGGCACAGCTACTGGTTGAGCGAACTGGGACAAATGCAATAAAAGCCCACAGGGGGCACCGTCGGGCGTGTGAACAGGACACAGAAAACCCCAGCTTTCCCCTAAAAGCTTGCGAACCTGCACGCATAAGCAGCATAAAGTGGATCTGGGGTTATTGGCCTGGACACGATAAGCTGCTGCACAACGTAAACACAGGTGGATGACGACTACTCGATGCTTAAGGAACGTCACACAGAAGTAAAAGGGCATAAAGGGGAGCTGCAGTTAACTTACAGCCGTGGTCTTCATTTGCGCAAAAAACTGGCCTCGGTGCACTGCTCGAAAGTGACTAAGAAAACGGTTTAGATTCAGGCGATCTGCCGTTACAGTCCACCCTGAGAGCTGTGCGCAAGCAGTTAGAAGTCGAAAAATGTCCCCATCCAGCTGTGCCTTCACGCTGGGCGGACTGTGAGAGTCCCTACACTTAACGGCGCAAGTTGACCAGTTAAAATCATGAGAGTATTGCATTCTACCTGCTGAAGATCAAGTTGGTTCGTCCGAATGTTGCCTGTGGCCATGAAGTAGTTGACCTTGTGGCCAATTTCAGAAGCGCATCGATCCGTGGCGGCGTCAAAGAATTTGTTCGAGGATATGACTAGACTAGGGTCGTGGCCAGCGGCCTTGACTTGCCTTAGCTCCTGAGAAGGCCACGATGGCAGCATGGCCTAGGGCGGTCAGGTCAGTGAGCGCTCTCCAGCTAACCGCCATCGTGTCGGCACCACAATGCACGCAGAATATTCCGTAATGTATGCTACATCAGACGTACCATAGTATACTGTGTGCGGAGTTTGATCAATGCACTGAACAGTGCGTCCTTTAGAACTGATGCAAGGATTTGGCCGGGGAGAACTACCTCCTGGTACGAGAAAGCGTCCATACTCTCCGGCTGTATGCAACATAAGACATCTGTTAAAAAAGGGGGTTCCGGTGGACCTGACGAAGGCACTTGAAATACGAGTTGAGCAACCCCAGATAGCTTCCTAAGGAGCTCTCGTATACGCTAGGAGCTTACCGGTATCTTTCCTGCCCGCAGCTGCCGTAGTTTTCGGAACATCAACAAGAGCGTCTCGAACTTGCTAGCCCAATCCTTTACATGGACGAGCACGTACCGATCGATAACAAATCTCCCGGCGTCTTCATAGGTACTACCAGGAGGCAGCAGCCAGGCCACACCTCTCCAGAACACTTGGCCGAGCTGGTGCAGAGGCTGCAGACACACGGCGATTAAATCAGCGGAGGGCAGCACTGTAACTCCTGCGACGGCAACCCCCCCATAGCAAGCGCTTTTTGGATATATCTGATATGTACTGCCTCGCCCTCCATGATGCGCTAACAACTGCCTACTCTATGTTCCATTATATCAGTATCCACGAAGTCCTTCTCGTTCCCCCATGCTTCTTCAAATAGTGCATGCAACTGCGTGGCTTCGGTGATGTCGCTCCATGACCCCTCCATGAACTTAAGCTTGAACTGCTGTAGTGAGAGGCCCCCGCCAACGCATCGCAGGAGCAGGAGGAACGGACAGAAATGCTCCTGTCTATTAAGCAAGATACGATAACAGCATCGCCCGTCCTCTGTATCCAATAGTATGTTTGACGTGCAAGTTCCATCGAACCTGCAAAAATTGCAAAGACAGCTCAGTATTTTTCTCTACTGAAGGCATCCTCACAGTCACTCATTGGTTCATGAGCATCACTGGGTCTTCGCTGGATCTCCAATCATTGGATTCCCTGCCGTGTTTCCGTGAACAGCAGATGCATCAATCGGGGCCAATTGCGTGCAGCTTGCCTCTGGCTTCTCAGAAGAACTGCAAGGTCCGTTGCGAAAATCTCGCGGTTCCTAAAGCTTTCCCTTTTGAGAGCAATGGGGTAATTCGTCTTCTGTTGAATGACAAAGCGCAGCACTCTTTCGTTGCCATTAATGATAAAGTAGCCGCCTAGTTCATCCAAGTCCTCTCCAGCCTTTACCATCTCAGTCGGGCTCATGCCTAGAGGAAACGGAGATAACAGCCAAGCGCACAGCACAAGCTTTGGTGAAAAAGGAAGGTTAGGACGGAATATTGTGACTTTCACGTCACTTTCTGAAGCCTCTACAACTGATGCAGTCGTCCCCAGGTCTCTTCATGAAAAGGAATTGCGAAAGAGGGCCTTTTGGCATGCTTTGTAGCGCTGAAGGATGGCTGGACGTAGCCGTAACTGACCTGACAGACTGCACCGGTTGCTCTTTACCATAACTGGCACCTGACCAACTACCATGGTCTTCTTGAATGCCACGTTGTTTTCGTCTCCAGTCCTCCAGCAAACGAAGCTGACATGAAGCGGGGCCCCATACGAGACGTGCGACTCTCTGCAGTGGCGGGGGAGCAGCCTGTTGCTGTATTCTGAATTAACCTGGAGGTCCCCCATGCCGCCTTTCTGGGGGTAGCCCAGGACGGCATCTGCAATCCCCAGTTTGAGATCTGTCCCGCAAAAGGAACGCAAGCACACGGAATTCTTCATGTCACTGCAGCTAGATAGATACACCAAATCGATGGAGCTGTAGTTATCAGGTGTACAGTCCACTGCCCGCAGTGAATCGAGCCACTGTGCTTGATAGGGACTTAAAAATACAGGTGGTGGGATATTTTGTGATAAGCATACAGTCAGAAGGCTTATAGTATGGATTGGCTTCATGTCGGTCTGGATCATAGTAGGGATCCACGTAGATAAATGGCAGTTCTTTGACCATTTCCTCCACATAGCAATCTGCAAAAGTGTTGAATGACAAAATGTGCGGGTAAACGCATTGCTGCAGTGCTCCATTGAAATGCGGATTTGGTGAAGGAGATAGCGGATTCAGGAGTCGATCGCGTCCTTCACGAAAAGGCGTAGCCCCTGCATCTAATTCCACAGGAATGAAACCTGGGGCCCCTTCAGGGGCCCTTCGCCGTTTAGTCGCCTCTAGTGGCGCCATCCCCACCCCGAGGCCTTATGTGCATCCACTGAATGAGGCAATAGCACGAGGAAGTGCCGAGAAGAGGACCAGCCCTCCAAAGGGCCCAGGGTACAGCAACCCACTCAACGCTCCCAAGCAGGATACCAGGCGTCAGATATACATTGGGAGAAGATGCCCTTGCCTCCTCCAGAAGATACAGGTAAAGTGTTATTAGCGACGAATTAGATCCTCCAGTTGCTACACTCGCTTGAAGACGATACAGAAGGTAGAAGGTAGTGGGGCAAGCAGGGAGCCCCTGAGGGCCTCCCGAACCTTCGACCTGGCCGCGGCCGTTAACAGCTCGGCAAGAGCTGCAGGGTTAAATGCTTATACATTAAACAGAATCTTATGGTATTACTGGAAGACTGAGGTAGCGAGGTGGAAGGACACGCCTTTGGTAACGCGATTGCATGCACGAATATATGCCAGAGCTCCGCTGCTGCAGTCAGTACATGACTGGACTTCCCCCTACAACTGGGCTTTTTGAAATACTCAGCAGTAGCAAACAGCCAATATTTTTGCAAACACAGTCGACATGATGACAGGACAGCAATACTCATGCTTAACAATACCCTACAGTCCTGGAGTCGAAGTCTCCTTCAGCCCCGATTGTTACTGGATTAAGTCTTAAGAAATCTATACTTGAACTCCCTACTAGCAACTTCCCAATTTTCTCCTACACTATGCCTGAAATTTTCTTAATATTCCGAGCCTTCTTCGTTTCGAGTTCGCTGTGGTAGTGGATTCAGCATATGCTGTCTCGATGCACAGGCCAACGAACACCTCGCACATACAGCATTGCGGCTTCCTCTATCGGGAGAAATGAGTGAAAGATTCACATGTATTTCGCGGATCTATGTCTAGCTAAGCGTTCAGAACAGTGGCGCACCAACGCCTCTGTGTGCATCTAGACTCCCTGCCGTCCCTGTCGCATCGGTCTGGTTCACATTGTTCCCAGATGAAGCATAGGAGAAACCTTTATGTACAAGCTGTTGTAGTTCACCGAAAGAGTTGTAGAATGATGTATACAGGTTAAGAGCCCCTGGGATCTGGGAATGCCGCGAGCCATCGCTTCCCTACACGCTGCAACATGACGCGTTGTTATCTGTGCCTCGACTGGAGACAGTGAATCTGCTTTCTACAGCTGCGATGGAGTGTAAGAGAAAGAGACAGGCCAAGCATATGAACCAGCTGGTTCACCACTTCACAGTGGCTCAAGCCAGGAGCACACACACTTCAGAGGACCACAGTATCTTCTGCGCTTACAATGGATCATAGTGTATAGCTGGGAGTATCTATATACAATAGCAATGGGAGCTGCATAGGGATGTTCTGCCCTGACCACTGTTGGGCACGCAGAGGAGCCTCTGAGGATCTACCCAGCCGTCGGCCTGGAGACGGCCGCTAACAGCTTAGCCGGAGCTGAAGAGTTGAAGTATTGTAGTTTTAAGGCAGTGATGATTGCAATTCAGAGCCTCTAGGCTAAGGAGAGACCCGGAAAAGGATTCATTCGCTGCAGAAGTACAAGGGGATTCCCGTAAGGTGCAGCCAATGATATTATTCTGTATCGCCGTTGGGTCACCTGTTCTCGAACGCTCCGCTGTAGCTAGCTAGGGAGTTACTCCAAATGCCATTAGTAGACAGCTACGCTGATCGTGCGCTAACAATTGTGCAGCTGCCCCCTTGAGTGCCCAACGAGGAGGAACGCCACGAGGCTGCTGGCGTCGACGGTACACCAGCGGGCCTTACTAGCATTGTTACGGGTGATTTAGCCGACGAAAGCTTTCTTTTCTGAGGGCCACTGGAGGTTACACCTGGACGGACAGACATGCAGTCTACCGCAGACACAGATGGACACATCCGGCACAAATCCACATACGAATGGACAGATACGGAGTGAGGAGAAGAAATGCAAACGGAGCTGCCGTTAGTAAAAGCTACGAGAAGATGCAGAGTACGACACCGATCGAAGCACGACGGAGACATAGAGTCAGGAGCAGAGAATCACAAATACAGGAAGACGTAGCCAGGGCAACACCTTCGATATTCTTCGCGACAAGTTTTAGATTTTTGTTCTGACGTTTTCTCCTCCCCCCCATGCTTTGCATCGTTGCTGCCCTTGGCCATCCTTTCATTGCTCCTCTTTGGCGTTCTCTGTCTAGGTTTTGCTCTGCACCTTCCGTTGGTCCAGTTTTTACTTTACTCTCTAAATACTGGGCTACTGCTTACTGTGCTTTCCGTTTTCCTGCGTCTTTTTTGTCGGTGGATCGGTCTTGCCGAGGCTATCTCCCTTTTCTCTGCTCGTACACCATTTCTCTCTCCTTGAGAAACGCTTGCTGCACCATTCATCTCCTAGCAAACTATCAGGCGCGTAATACAGGGGTATGCGTGCAGGTACTGCAGGTGCTGCTTGGATAGTTGCTGCTGTCGTGAGTATCTTCCTCCGTATGTTCGAATGGATCTTCTCTCTAGTGCTTTGGGAATATCGGTGACTGAGAACACAGTCCATTGAGCTACGAATAAGTCGAAACGACTTTCCAACCAGTAGGGGCAGGCAGCTGCTGCTGTTAATATCTGTCTCGCTGCTAAACCTCTTCTAGTCGTTGCAGAAAAAGCAGAAGGCTATGGTGTAATCTTTGTTCAAAAGGGCAATCTTGAACAAGTGTCAGCTTACCGGAAGGACAGCCGACAGTGGTTGAGTGCAGCAGTGCTGTCACTTCTTTGGCTGTCCGGTTACCTTTGCACTAGACAACTTGTCACCAGCAGTACCATGCAGCCAGTCGCTGCTGTTGCTGCCCTGTAGGTTAGAGATGTGCTACCAGAGCATGTATGTAACCGTGGAAAAGTAAAAGGGAGTAAAGAAGTAAAAGCACACATATATACGTCAATAAACGGATGTCTGGTGAGGTAGTTGGTGCGGAAAACGAGCAAAGCAGATGTTAGGGGTGGCAAACAACATTGTGGAGAACAGTTCCCCCAAACTGGGTGTGCACTAGCGGAGCCTTGTCTTTGAAGCTCTCAGCAAAGAAACCAGGGCAGAAAGAGACGTTCATGCTCTGCTCTGGCCGACAGTGGCGAAAGAAATAATCAGATGAAGGAAAGCCACCTCGTACAAAAGGAGGCAATGCAATCGCAACAAAGATAGGGGAACGGAAGCCAGCATGCTGAGCTTTCCGTACGCGTATTTGAAGCCCTCCTCAACATTAAATCGCACGCTTCAGGTTTGTGCACGCGTGGAGTTGTGTATGCCTAAGCTCTGCCGCTTCGGCAAAACAACTGGCAGATATCTTCGGTGCAGCTCAGGCTAAGCAGTCACCGTTAACAAGAATCACGTTAACAAGAATCACGCAATAACATAAGTCATTCAGCTTCGCTTTTGGGGCTCCTCATCCCTGTTAATGTCCATTGAAGCCAACGCGTCAAGGGTACCTTGCAAATGCCCGTCTTCTCCCGCGACTTCATGGTGATGAGCTGGTGGCATAAATAGATGCTGTTGCGGGTAAGGCGGGCCATACGGCTCCGTTATGGGTGGCAGTGAGGTAGCCGATGGCCGTCGGCTTCTGTACCCACTCAAGGGGCCTGCGAAGCCGATCCCGCTCGAGCTTCCAGTTTCTCCGGAGCTCTGGGGGAAAATACCCGGAGGACCGCTAGATGGCTGTGGCGAAGTATGGGGAACTCCGCCGCCAGGTTGCGTGGAAGACGGTTGAGAAGCGCTTACAAGTGGAGATGTCCAGTGGTCAAAATCAAATCGAGGGCCGAAAGACAAGGAAGGTTCATCCCCTGCGCCAGGAGGCGGACGAGGAACATGTTGTGACGATGAAGGTAAAGAGCTATCCCGTGTTTGCGGCAACGGGGCCCGAAGCGTACTAGGCCCAAGATAGCCTCCGAATCCAGACGCCGGTAGCGAAGGTGTATCGGCAGTTTGATATGCCGCTCCGGTTTCAGAAGGGTGACGTAGCCCTGGAGGAGGCCGCAATAATCGTCCGGTATGTTGCATGGGCGGGTAATGGCCCCATCGTTCTACTCCGAAAGGAACCTGCTGAGGTCCATGAACCAGCGGGGCACCTGGTGAATCGGATGGTAGAGCCGGCTGTTGCTGGGAATGAACACGCATATCCACTGCACCATATTCGTCAGAGGGAAGGTGCGCAGGATGTTGTACACTTGGGATTGAACTCTCCTGGGGGTGCCTAAATGAAGGTTCAACCCTACCAAGGAACCCAAGACCTGAAGCAGCAGTTTCCAGCAAGGGCTGTTGACGCGAAATTCCCGTTTGTTGCTCACTGCTGGCATCGTCCCAAGGAGCTGAGGGAGGAACACGCAAAAGATCTCCATGCCTGTGCGACAAGTCTATCGTCTTGAAAGAAAGAGCACTTCCCTCCCTACCACGGCCGTCACCTGCTAAAGAAGGATCCCACGAGGGAGGCGCAACTGGAACGTCCGTTCTCTGGTGGTGTCCACGAGAAAATTGAGCTCCCGTTGTGGGGGGCAAAGTAGATGGGCTGGCAGTATGCTGCGGCTGCAGCGGGTACCGTCCTCCTGTTGACTCGGGAATGGAATGCAAATGTGGCAACGGCTGTTTCGGCCTTGCACCTTGCTGCATGTGAGAGGAATGCCGAGGAGCAGCTGTAGGGTCATGCGGTTGTATCCAAGGGGAATGCCAACTCCCTGATGATGTGCCTGCGCCGCGCGCACCATGAAAATATTCGGACGCAGGGGCAGTTTGGCCGCTTGCTCCTTCCATGGGTTGCGGACGACTTGCTGGCGTTTCGGAAATACCATGTTGCTCGTCACCGCTGGCAAATGAAGCTATATGCATTTCGTCACTCCCTTCTCCTTCGGTAAAATACATCGCGTTCTCACCATAACGGCCCACCTGCACGCCCGTCGTAGCCATGTCATCTAAGTATTTAACTTTGAATAATGCCGTGTATGGAAGGCCACCAGCTCGTTTAATCTCTTCCTTGAGGCCCTTGGAGAATTCTGCACTACTCCCGATTGGATTGCAACTGGCCCTTCTCGACAGTTCGCGAGAAAAGAAATACGTGTTTTGTAGTTCAATCTGAGCCTTCTCAAGAAACCATCGTGCTCCACCGTCAGGAACGATACGACCAAGCAGATGCCGCTGTACAATGTTCAATAGGCGTATTTGTTCCCCTACGAATTCATTTAGTAGAGGACGCCCGTGCTTATGCAAGTGATACTGCATTCCCAATACAATCCCCGTCAAATACCAGTTCACGACTGTATTGAAGCCCAATATTCCAATGGACTTTTTTTTGAACTTCCATGGGGGCAAACCTTCTCCATGCGGTCGTGGACGCATGACACATTCCGCAAACGAACGCAACATACGAACTTCTTCTCGGTGGCGCAGCATCTCAGGCATTGTGCCGGCCAGCTCCAGAGCGCGATCCGCTAGACGCAGTATGGCCCGGCCGGCCCTTTCCCGTCGGGGTTCCATAGAGTCCGGGGTTAGCGAAATGGTAGCTAGCATTACGATCAGTATTTTCATCACTGCGGCTGTAAACCGCAACATTTGACGGATCCCGGCGTGCTCCGCGAGTCTTGAGCAGACCCCAGCAAAAAATTCAATATTGTCCAGCAATCTTTCGGCTTGTTTTTCGGTGTCAGGTGGAAGTTGCCGATTTATCCAATACCCTTGCGCGACTTCGCTTTCCGTCTCGGGATCTCCACGCGGAACTGTAATTCTTTCCTCTTCAGTTTGTGAGCTCCATGCTGTGTACTGGACATCTCCCACCGAAATTTCCTGCTCTTCTTCAGTACCTCCATAGGCTTCAACATGCTCTGCTTCTGCTCCCCATTCTGCTCCATACATTCCCCCTTCCCAAGCTGCACCCTCGTAATAGGGCGCTGTGGGATCTTGCTGACCCGACGTCCCTGGATATGCGGGAAACTCGAAACCAGTTGATGAGGCACCTGCTTCCATCATCGTTCCATCCGCTCCTGTCGTCCCTCCCACTGCTCCAGGATACCATTCCTCTTCCCCAGTATACATCCCTTCTTGTCCCCATTGTGCTGAATGCATTTCTCCTCCCCAAGGTGCACCAGGGTAGTAAGGTGTTGGTGGGGCCCCCATGGGCGGGGCCCCTTGTGCTGGGTACATCCCCCCCAAACCAGCTGGTAAGGTACTTTGCATGTTGTCTCCTACTCCTTCATCACCTTCCGGCCCTTCATTTCTTGCACACTCGTCTTCTGAACCATTTCTTCCGGTAGCCAACAGCCTGACCGCGGCACCTTGTCCGTGGCTAAGGGTAATCTTCTCGAAACAGCGAAGGAGCATATATACAACTGCCAAGGATGTGATGGTCGCAGCGAGCACGTGGAGAACCGAAGACGCAAATCGTCCTTTCCTCTTGAGCTTTAACAGCGTGGAAGGCCTCTCTTCAGTCGCCTCCGAGTTTCTTTCCTGCGCAGTGTGCTCCCCCAGGTCCCCATTGCCCACCAGGGCACGGGGCTCAGCAGCAGAAAGCTGCTCAGCAAAAGACGAATCCATGGCATCCATCCAATTAAAGTACTTGAGCCGCCAGTCGGCACATTTTTCCACTCCAGATACAAGGGTTAAAATGTCCTGAAAGCCTCTGCGAGAGCCACTACACCAGTGGTTACGTCTGAATGTTGGCAGAGCAGCTACAAAATATATATTACTGGTCACCACACAGAGAAGGAAAACGTGTCGCTCATGCCTTTTCTTACTGATTTCTCGTTGCCGAACACATGTTTTGAACTGGGAGAGTTTCGCTGAACCTAATCGCCAGTCAGTGCGACTCACAACAACTACGAGACAATTTTAACGTACAAATTATGAAATACGCAATGCAATCCTTCTTGTTGCTGATCAAGGAGAGGTGATGATCGTGGTTAAGACTCGGGCTCAAGACCTCATCTACGATCAGGCGGTGCAGCGCGTAAAACCCATAGATTCATTGGAAACCCTTGATTTTTCCTCGGAAACTGTCCTACAGCAAACTGAATTTCGCCTTTTTCCAACATTTCCAGCTTTCTGAAGCTCCATTCCAACCACTCACCAGCACAGGGCGGCTGCCGCGATGCTGGCCGCAGGGGCTTTTGGTTGGGCCGCTCCCTGCTGCACGGTTGACCATAGTATCGATCATCCCCTTGAAACTTTGTTTCGGTTAGTTTCCGTCCTCCTGCATTTTTAATTGATAATTTAAAACGTTATCACCCAATTAGTTGCAGTCAAACTGTCCTTTACCTGTCCAGCATGCACCAGAGCCAGCTAAAACCCCACTGGCAGGGTCCTTACTGATGTCCGCAACATAGCTACATGCAAGTCTCTGTGAAGTATGATGCTGCATAGATGCAAATGAATAGTCTTTTGGAAGCTCAGAAAGGGTGTAAAAACTGCTTAGGGTGCTCGTGCCCACACTTTTATACCATGGACCATATGGAGTTGGTACACGCATTTCTACACGTACCTGGAGCCTAGGTACCGGGGGCTAAGTAACTGTTTAACGGTTGTATATACTGTTAGTGATTGTATTAAATTCTGGTTGCGTTTAATGGCTTGTGGGGCAGCCTTGCAGCAGATGTTGCAGCAAGGCATGTTACAGCTTGTGTATAGCGGGAGTCCCCCGATCGCGAACTGCAGCAGAGTCACAATACTTAATATAAGGGTTTCAAAAAAAGCCTCTGATATTCTCTCCAGTCACCAGGGGGCCTGGAAGAGAGGGCCTAATGGCCTAGTACCGGGAGAGAGGAGGCGGCCTGAAACGAGTTGGACCGCACCCGCGAGCATGGTGAGCCTGGTCTGCAGTGTGAGCACAGGAGCCTTTGCTTGTAGGCTGCGTACAAGCAGATCCAAATATTGCATAAGTGTATTCAGAGGTGAAGCATGCAGTAAAGAAAGCTTCGTTGAAGCTTCTTTGTGCTCACACGCGAGGCTTGTTTGTATCAGCCGCAGCGCGGTGCGCTGCAACACCACTACAGGCTGCCTCCTCCCCGCCACACCCAGGCCTGAGCTCAACGCCCAGGAGGTCTGAGGACAGGAGAAGAAAGCCAGATGCTTTTTGGAAACTCTTAGTGTAAGTCATTACCCAAATTGCCGCTAACTTGTGTCTTTGATTAAGGCCAGAGAGCAAGCGTTGTAGGCAACAAGCCACCGCCGTATATGCATAGAACATAGACTCAATTTCTTGGGTTTAACTTATGTCGTTTCAAGCGTTTAAACCTGAAGACATCAATGTGCATAGGAATTTGATGTTCTATCGCCGACTGTGGCTGTGAATACATGTCCACAGTGCTTAACCCTGAACGGACCCGATGGAGGTATATAGTGTATAAACTTTTGCATAAGCATTGGCTGTTGCTGCAATGTAAATGCAGGGTATCACATGTTTTCACTGTGATGTCATCACTAGTCTTTTAATAAGAGGCTAACTTGTACAAATTCACTTGTTTTTAATACACCACTGCCAGGCTGGAGGATGAACAACCCATGGGTATGCAGACCCAAGCAAGACCCATCGACGGAGCGGTCATGGTTAACTCGGTGCTGCTGCTGCTCCCGATACTGTATTTTCCCTAGGAAGCAATAGTATTTCTGAAAAAAGTAATATTAAGCTTTGCATATGGCTGAAATTTGAAATATCGATAGGTAAACTTAGCCTGGGACACTGCACGATCCATTTGATTGAATAGCGGTGCCCGTTGATCGGTCCCCTGAGGTGGTTCGGCTTTCTTCTCGGTATTTAATGCCATAATACAATTTATTGAATCATCTATGTTAGCGATCCTGAAGGAGGAGAGGGGGGCCTGGTGGGAGTTTCCGCTGGTGATATGCAACGCTGCTGTGGGGCCGTTCTGCCCGGGGATCTTTGAAGCTGACGAAGCAGCTGTGAGGTCCCTTGTACACCGGAAACATCGAAATTAGTACTTTTTTGCAGCCGCATGCATCTATGCTGCAGAAAAATAATGAAGACCATTTCTGGCGGTGCCGCCAGAACTCCGGCATAGACATAGAAATCCAGCCCTACGCTCGAAGGCTTTCCTTACACTACTAGCCAACGCAGGCGTGTATGAATCTCTGATCAGGTGAGATCTATAAGAGGGTGTCTCGTGGAGGAGCTGGTGGTCATTACAGGTGACAGCAATGACCGCGCTCGTCGACGAACGGCTTACTCCTGCTGAGGCAAATGCTAGCTTACACAGCCGAAGCCTCCAGGATAAGGACGCTTTGGAGATTCCTAGGGATGTTACGATTTCAGAGAGGCGCAGTTGGTCTACGCGATCCTCGAGGAGCAAGCCTATCGCCTCTTCACTGCCCCGCGTGCTCATTGCTGCTACCGCTTCCTTAGCTGCTGTATACCTGGTCCTTCGTTGCTTCCAGGGGCTCGCAGTGAGCTATCGACAGAATGAGGCGAACAGGGGGCTGGCAGCAGCCGGTCACGGTGCTGGAGGGCAATGCTCTGGAGATGACAGCGGGGATGATGACTTGTCGGGTCTGTTCGACAAAGAGTTAGAGGGAGAAACGGCCGAAGACTGGATATCTGAAGGTGAAGAAAATATTGAATTTTATGAGGAGGAGACAGAGCTTCGTGAAGGACGTGGCTTCACTGCGGGATGGGAGGATAGAAATATGCCTGCTAGAGCGCAGCGAATATTTTCTCACTATTTAGATCGAATCGAGGTAATGTCAAGACTATGTATGGGTCTTTTGAAGTTAATGCCATCTGAACTGTATCAATCATTAGCATACCGGATGGGGAAGATCCTCGCGACGCAACTGGGAATACTCTCTTTGAACCCTCCTTCTTTGGAGAATGAGAGAGCACGGGCTGGTGAGGCCCTGTTGACGATGCTAGCATCAGCCCAGTATTTGCATAACCGGACGCAGGAGGGGCTGCGCATCTCACGTATGATCAAGAGCCTTTCCGATCTTGTAGCTGTGATCAAGGAGCCTAGATTAGACACTATGCGTATATCCGCAAACCACCACCAAAAAAGGGTTACCGGGGTCTTCAGCCTCGTGAAAGCTATCAACGGCTATCTCATGGGGGTCACCTCGGTCCTGCGTCGTCCTGCTATCTACCCTGAGGAAACGATACCCACCGAAGAGATAGAAAGGCAAATGCGTCTGCTTGATACTCTGTTTGAAATGCAGCGCGATCGTATCCTGGGTGACCCTACGACGCATTGGTTTCTCCTGGTTTCTCAGGCGAAAGCCTCGCAGTTTTTGCTTTTCACCCGAGCGATGTCACGTGCAGCAAAGGATGTAAAAATCGCCCCCATACATGCATTCGAACAAGCATTAAATAAGGCCGTGCAAGATGCAGGCGGTGTCCCTTATCTCCCCTTGATCAAGCAGACCCAACAAGAAAGCTCACGCAAACAGCGCGAACAAACAAAAGACAGCAGCCGTTCATCTCCGGCGGAAGATGCTGCTGCTGTTGCTGCCAGATCTTCTCTTAGGGCCACTGCTCCTGTCTTTCAGCCGCGGCAGAGTACCCTCATGTCCTCATCAGCTCCCCTCACAACCTGGCCAAAAGCTGCGGAAGGTATCAGCCCAGGTCCTTCTCTGCAATCTGCTTTCCTCAGCCGCACCGAGAGCGGCCCCAAGCCCTCATCAACGCCTTATGAGGACCTTGGCGCCCGCCCAAAGTATCCTGCTTCAATACCCTGGTCTACACACATCCCTGAGGAAGAATCAGAATACCTGCAACGACCTCCATACCCAACGGATTGGGACCCCCAGGGATACCAGCGAACCCGTGAAGAGTTTCAGGGGGATGCTGATATCTTTTCAAGAAAGCAGGCGATATGGACGTCATCCTTTCAAGAAGAGTATACAGGCGGCGAAGAGGGGTGGGAGTTTCCTACCGATCACGACGAAGATTCGTCTGGAGGGGAGGCAACCGCTACGACGCCTCCTTTAGATGCCCCGGAGAGCTTTCAGGGTCAGCAGGGGTCACAGACATGGCAAGCGCAACGGTACACCGAAGAAGAGGAATATTTGACTGGTTGGCAACGTGTGAAGAGTGGACCCCATTCCTGGCGGCGGCAGAGGCGAACACGTCACTCTCCAGATCTTGTTTCAGAGAAGGTTGAGTCTGTGCCTGAGTTGCCACGTGGTGATGCTCCCTCAGAAGCAGGAGATGCTTCATGGGAGAAAGCAGCAAGCACTGGGTTTGCTTCTCCTCGACTGCCGAGTGACCCTAGTGAATACGGCGATGTGTGGACGCCCTTGCCGAGGAAAGAAACCCCGTCACGCCCCCCAGCACCTCCAGGTTTTGAACACTATTATTCTTCTACGGCGAAGAAACCAGCAGCAGATGCTCCTTTGCAAGCACCACGTGAACCTGAACACCATGCTGCAGGTAGGGAAAGCTGGACCCTTCGAACCACCGCAACAGGCACAGCGTCATCCTCTGGCCCTTTGCCCTCCCCCGGAATGCTTTCCGGTGAAGCTGGCCGTCCACCGCGCTCCTTTCTATCACCTCACTCCCACCCAACGGGCTTCACTTCTGGCTTGTTCCCCCCAGCATCGCCAGGCGTTCTTTCGGACGCATCCCGCGGGACAGCAGGACTTGCTGGTGTTCAGCCCCATCCTTCCTTCGGCGATAGTACAGGCAGTCCGTGGACGGTGCCAACGGAGGAAGCTGCTGGCTGGCATCACAGACAACCTTGGAGTAGCGGGGGACAACTTCCTGGCTCGGAGGAGGAAGAGGAGAGTGCGCAAGTCGAGGAAGGAATCGCTGAAATGTGGAAAAATATAAATATTTGGGATGACGAGTCTTCGGATGAAAGCTGATCACGTGTTGTAGCTTTTGTTTTTGAAATAGCCCATGTAGACAAGCTCCCGTTGTTTGCACAAATATGCAAACATATATCTGAGTGGATTTCCTGTCCGCCGCCTGCAGTGCGGAAAGCGGAAACGCTGCTGAGGAAGAATGCAACAGTGCGAGATGAGCTTCAGTTACGGAGTTAGCTGTTTGTGAATTTCACACCGCCGCGCGGTGGGGGGTCGATGAAGTTTTAGCTTCTCCTGTCGAAGACGACGCTGAACTCGATAGATCTGCTGCTTCTCCGAAAGCCACTCCAGTGCAGGCATTCCGTGTGTTATTGCATGTGTACCCCGCTAAACAACTTATGCCGTACAACATACACCTCAGCTTACAAAACCTTTTTACACTTCTCCACATGAAGCAAACGATGCAAGCTCGATGCTGAACCCGATAAAATTGAAGATCAGTTCGTCTTTTTGCTGTTTCCTGTCTTGGGGCTACTCATGGTGTTCTGGAGGGGATGCCCGTCAGCATTTTATGCAAGAAGTTCTATTGGGCTTATCCGCCATATTCGCGGGATTTTTTCGTGGATGAGGAAAGCTTTCCGCACTCAGAAAGGGATTTCTGTGCGCGCTTGTGCGCTGTGCTGCACAAAAAGACGCAGCATGGTGGACCCGGAGTGGTTGAGGGGCATATGCATCATCACCAGCTCTGCTCAGCTCGTACACAAACGCGGTTTCGTGGAGTTTCCCTTTCAAAGCAAAGGGTGGAGGGAGAAATGAAGCCTTTACGAATCATAGAAGCCGGAAAAGTATCTCGGTTACGTGCTTCTGTTGCTGTATATTTCAAGCGCCTAGGTTATCCTGTATGACTCTTGCAGCACCGTATTCAACGGTAGAAAGCATGAGTTAGGATTCCGAGCTGTTGCGTATTTTGTTTTGTTGTAAATAAAAATTTAGTTTAAGGAACGTCTTGTGTGTACGTTCAGTGATTTGAACAGTTGACGAACGTTTCTTCGTGGATGTCTTGAGCCATAAGATAAAGAGCCCAAGACGATGAAGGCCTAGTAATATTTTGTAATATTTAATTTCTTCTTGGTGATTCATGGCTGATTGGGGCAGCTCATCAGCAGTGAAACCTTTTGAATTTCAGTATCGACGAGCGCTTTCCTGGGTTATATTGATAGAGTATACCTCCCCAAGGAGAGAGAAGCTCGGTGGTATGTAGCACGCGTCTATGTTCTTATTGCATGTTTATGTTTATTGTATCCTTTTATTGTATCCTTTTAGTTGCAAATTGCAGTATAAATTCTTAATATAAACCACACCGCAGCAGCCCCCACAGGCGACAGCAGGGGGCGTGCCGGTTGTATTGTATTGCGTAGCACTGAAAACAGTGAAAACGTAAAAACATATTTGAAGGTAACGACTTTATAATATTTTCCTCTTTCATCTGCGTGACATTGCGTGTTTTTTTTTCTTTTTTTTTGCACCCCGAACGAGCAGTTGTGTATACACCTCTGCGGTGATGATCGTATGCAAGTCAGCCACCACAACTCACCCGCTTACAGCTTTCTCTACGTAAAAGTCTACGTAAACTGCTGCGAAAGAAACAAAAGGATTTCGTGATATAAAGAGATATATAAAAAAAAAGGTTTTCTTTTCAGGGTCTGATGCTTCATTAAAAAATTTGAATATGCGGTGTATCTAGGAGGCTCTGCATGAAGGTGTTTTATGTATTATGTATATATATATTTTATGTATATATATATACCACTCGCATACAGCCTGGCTCTTGAGGGCCAAGCAATAGTTTACAAGCTTTCTATAGTGTTACTGCATGCAGAAATATGGGGCTTTGTTTTGCTTGCATGCAGGAGTGCAAATTGAAACACTAGTTACAGCAACGGTTGCTGCAGCATATCTAGGAATATGCTGCATCCTCTCGGCTCACTGAAGAGAGGTTCATCAGCTACGCATAAAAAATTCAGTTATATTAAGTGTTTCACTCTGTTGCTTATCAACAAGGTCCTCAACTAAGATCGAATACTCTCACTGTATACCGTGTAGAAAGCTGCACAATATATATATATATATATATATATATATATATATATATATATATATATATATATATATATATAT